CCTTTGTTGCTCTTGGAAATGCAGTCAATACTCTGGTATCACAGCACACAGCTCTCAGGATCGCGCTGTTTCCTGACGCGGGCGCTCCAGACCCGCCGCCATTTTCCACCATAAGAACTTTTTATAAGGACTAAAGGTAATGCCTAGAAATAATGGTAAAGAAAACATCCTGAAACTTTCAGATGATAGATGACATGTAAAACAAGATTGTCTTCATACCTCATATAATTTATTTTTTATTTGTTTCAATACGTTTTATTTTTTTAGCAGTTTTAGGTTTACAGAGAAGTTGAGTAGAAAGTTCAGACAGTTCCCATACCCTACCCCCACTCAGTTTTCCTATTATTGACATGTTACCTTAGTGTGGTACATTTCTTATAATTATGAACTGATATTGATACATTATTATAAACTCAATTTTACGTTAGGGTTTCTTCTTTGTGCCGTACATTTCTGTGGATTTTGCCAAATGCTTAATATCATGTGTTCACTGTTACGGTACCACACAGAATAATTTTGCTGCTCTAAAAATCCCCTGTGCTTCACCTATTCGTCCGTCCCTCCCTCCCCACTTCTCCCCTGAAACACTGGAGGCCACTGATTTTTTTCTTTTTCTTTTTCATTACTTCGAGCACTTACCATTTCTTTGTGTTGGGAACATTCAAAATCCTCTTTTCTAGCTTATCGAAAGTATACAATAAATTGTTGTTAATTATAGTCACCCTACAGTGCTATACAGCACTAGATATTATTCCTCCTATCTAGTTGTACTTTTGTATCCATTAACTAACCTGTCATTGTCCCCTTCCCCTTTACCTTTCCAGCCTCTAGTAACTGCCATTCTACTCTTTACTTCTATGTAATCAACTTTCTTAGCTTCTACATGTGAGTGAGAACATATGTTTTTCTCTTTTTGGTATTTCTCTTTCTATTCCTGGCTTACTTCACTTAACATAATGTCCTCTGAGCTCATCCATGTTGTTGTGAATGACAGGATTTCATTCTTTTTTACTTCATCTAATTTAAGGTTTTTCATCTTCATTAAAGGTTAAACAGTAGTGATATGGATGGAGAGCCTATGTATATTCAGATGGTTACAGCACTGGTTTTACAACTTATTCAGTGTGTGGTACACTTACCATCATCAGAGAAGGACTCTAATTCAGAAGAGGACTCAAATAAAAAAGTAAGGAATCTTTAAAGGTTTTATAACTTTGTACTTTTATGAAAGGAAACACCTATATTCTCTGTGATTTCTTATAAAACTGAGGTTCTTAATTAGGGGGTTGTGGTTGGGCTCTAGGGTCCTCTGAGAGCACTAGACAAAGTTTTAGGAAACTTGAGTTCTGGTTCTGATTCATATCTACCAGGCGTGAAACATACAAATCATTTTAATCTTTCTGAGTTTGTTTCTTCGGCTGTAAAATGAGGGTGATAGTACTTAACAAGCCTAGCATACCAGGTTGTAAGACTCAAGTAAGATATTGAATATGAAAGTGAATATTATAATATGTAGTATATATAAATGCATGATATGTAATTGTAATATAAGGAAAAATGAGTTTATACCCTCCCTTGATGGAAGACTCACAGCTAAGATTTGCTTTTGGCTTTATCAGCGCTTAGAATTTTTCCAGGTTCTGTAGTTTTAACTCAACAAAAATTAACGAGAAATGGGAATAATTTTATTTATTCTTTTTTTTTTTTTTTTTTGCAGTTGGCTGGTAGTATTTGTTCTGTTATTGCCAAATATAAATATATATGTGTGCATATGTTTTTGTGTGTGTGATAAAAATACATTGATTAATAAAGTAAACAAATATTGTCCAAAAGGTTGAGGTCCTCTTCGTTTCTTCTCCAGCTCTCAATTTCATTGTTCTGTCTCCAATCTTCTTTCCTTCCCATTGGTGACCAGTATCATGAGTGTGTTTATCTCCTTTCATTTATTTATCTGCATAAATTTGATATAGGATTATTTTGTTTTTAAATTTTACATAAATAATAGTGACATATTTGCAGCTAATTTTTTTACTCAACATAGTTTTTAATACATATAACTCATACCAGATTCTTCTTGACTTGAGTTAAAAACATCATATAATGGCATCCCAACTTAAAGCAAGAGTTTCTCTAGATAGAGGTAGAATTGTTACATAATGTACATGCATTAACTTTACTGGAAGTTGGCAGTTTGCTCACCAAAGTGATGTTTCAGTTTACATTTCTACATTTTTATTTTACCTATTCTGGTCACTGTGAAATGGTGTCATGTTTTGTGTTTTCCTGGCTATTAGTGAGCTAGAGCCACTTTTTCTATATTCGTGTGGCTTTGTGTTTCTACAACTGTGAATTGACTATTTATATCTGAATCTTTAAATTTCTAAAGAAGACATTGAATTTTCTTTTGGACTATATATTCCAAAGTTTCATTAACTTTTAGATTGAAATATTTTTCCTAAATTATTTTCAATTCGTTTCTTCTTGTTCTGACCTGGATCATGGTAAGCAACTATTAATATTACATTTGTTATCACATTTATTGTTCTTACATATTTTAATAAATTAAAATGAACTCTGCCAGTATTTTTATCTGTTATAATAGTGAAATATATTTCGTGTGCTAATTGTGGTTTCTCTCTTTATATAAAAGAATAATTTACACATTTTAGTATTTAAGTGTATTACCCCTATTCAGTAATAACGTGGCAACAGCAAATGAGCGAACTTGTTTGTTGATTATTTCTTATATCTTCATAAATTTGTTTTTCTCACTCTAGGTTGACCAGGATGTTGTTATTACCAACTCTTATGAAACAGCTATGCGAACAGCCCAAAACTTCCTTTCCATCTTCCTTAAAAAGTGAGTAAAGTTAACATAACTCTGATTTTTATTTTGCACAGCATAGAGAATAGTTCATTTAAGAGAAAAACTAACCCAGTTTTCTGCCTCAATCTGAACTTTGAATACATCTCCCTGGCCCTTGGTTTCCTGATCTTTAAAATGAAGTAATTAGAGTATCAAAAATCTAAAATTTTGTGAATTTGTTTATATGTTAGACTCTAAAAATTAAAGTACTAGATTGAAATTCTGTAATTTTTCTTCAGTAAATTTTGGGGCATTCTACTTGAATAGCAGAGTTTGTGGAGGGAGGTTATTTAGCCACCATAAGAATTTATGGGAATCTTGTAGAGAGAAAAACAGTGGTCATTTAAAAAAATGTGTTTTACTTGCAGAATGTAATGTTAATATTAGTTAATAAATTAATTTTCTATAATTGGGGGGGAATGGAGTTTAAGAAATAAATTTATTTTAAACTATATTTAATATACTCTCATTTACTACCTTGCTACTAGATATAGAGATACAGATATAGAGAAAAGTTAGTTAACAAAATATCAGTCATGTTGGTAGACATGTCACCTAAATTGACATCCTTTTTATTTGTCTTTGAACAGATGTGGTAGTAAGCAAGGTGAAGAGGATTACAGACCACTGTTTGAAAATTTTGTTCAAGACCTTCTTTCAACAGTCAATAAGCCTGAATGGCCAGCTGCTGAACTACTCCTTAGTTTGTTAGGGAGACTGTTGGTAAGAGTATAGCATTTAAAGATTATTAGATTACTAGAAGACAACATAATGAGGATGTACTCTGATTCACAGATGATGAATTCTTTAAAAATGTGTAAGGAAATATGAACATTGCATCTCTATTTTTGCATGTGCATAACTGTACACAGTATTGTCAGTACCTTGTGGAAAACTTTCAAATGTTGTGAATTTCAGTGCTTCATTTCATTACCTAAGATGCTTTAAACATTTATTTGGTTTGGAAGTGTTACATATATTGTTAATTAAAAGCATCTCAACACTGAGTCATGTTATTGTAGTTACTCATTTCAAAATGAGTGTGAAACTGATTAATGTGAACTGTTTGTCATGTTGAAAAGTATTCTAAAAACATGTGGCACTTTTTAGTCCTCATGTAATACCATAGGGGAATGACAGAAATATTATTATGGCTTCTCTTTTTATTTTTTTAAGTACACTTGAACTTGTACAATAAAAATTATTACAAAGCTTTTGAGACTTTACTTTTTGTGAACTGGAAAATATATTAATACTATTAAGAAACTATGATAACGTTTTATAGGCATCAGAATTCCATCCAAAGAAATTCTTATTCAATAATATTCCATTTTATACAAATAAACAGTTGAGCCTACATTTTTGAAATGTGATTATATTCTTAAGGAAGTTTAATCTATAATTTTTTTAGCCAAATGAAAATGTTCAGATTCCGGAAAATCAAAAGGCGAAAGTCACTTTATTTTGTAAGAAAAAAAAGTTTAAATTTCAAATAGTACAACATAGTTTGGGAGTTTATATAATAAATTGCTGTTAAAGACATATTGTTATATATCTATTAAATGGAAAACTTTTAACGTTTAGGTTCATCAGTTCAGTAACAAGTCAACAGAGATGGCTTTAAGAGTAGCATCTCTTGATTACCTTGGAACTGTTGCTGCACGACTGAGGAAAGATGCTGTTACAAGCAAAATGGATCAAGGGTCTATAGAACGAATTTTAAAACAGGTATTGGTGAGATAAAGGATTAATATTATAGGGATGAATAATAGTTAACTGCTTTTTTTTAGATGTTCTTACATTAATGTTGTGTTTCATTTTGCAGATTCAAAATAAGATTTATACTTCTAAAAGTGGGCTTTTCAATGCCCAAAAGAGAAATTTAAGACCTTAGGGTGAATTATAAAGTTTAAAAGGAACTGTAAATGCTTTATATAAATCCTTAGTTTACTTTTTTGTGTGTGTGAATTACTGTTATGAGTGTATAATGCTATTTTATAATTGTTTTAAGATAAATTTTATTTAAATCTTTAGTTTACTGAGATGATGATTTGGCATGTTCCATACCTTTGAATTTTATGTCATCTTTTTATATTGGAAAGGGGTCAGGAAGGAGGACTTCTTTTCATTTTATTGTATTAGAGAGTTTCCTTCTTGGGGAAAAAGTTTGCTTCATTTATTCTTTTTTTAAAGTAGTTCATAGTACAAAAAGTTACTTCAGAAAATTCAAGAAATTATCTGTAATGCTACTATATACAACTTCTGTTTTCTTTTTCTTTTCTTTTCTTTTTTTTTTTTTTTTTTTTTTTTTTTTTTTTTTTTTTTAGTCTTTTTTTATGTTCATAACCGTATCCATGTTGGTAGGCTTGCGTCTAATTTTTTTTTTTTAACTAGGTGTTTTGAAATAATTTCAGCCTTACGGAAAAGTTGTAAGAAGAGTACAAAGAACTCCCATAAACCCTTCACCCAAATTCCTTAATTGTTGACAAGTTATAACATTTGTTTTATCATTCTCTTTCAAAATATACATGTATTTGTGTCTCTATATGTGTGGGTTCACCCACCCCCCTGCCCCAAACCATTTGACACTAAGTTGCAGACAGGATGCCCCCTTTACCCCTGAATTCTCAGGTGGTTGGTTTTCAAAGTGTGATTCCATGGACAAGCAAAACCAACAATGACATCACCTGGGAACTTGTTAGAAATGTAAATTCTTAGGTTCCTACCTGGACTTAATGAATCAACAGGTCTAGGGGTGGGGCAGTCAGCAGTTTTACAAGCCGCTCCAGGTGATTCTAATGAATGCTAAAGTTTGAGAGCCAGTGCCTTGTGTATATTTCTGCAAACAAGAGCTCTCACTTCAATATCCATAGTATAACTTGATAAAGGAAAAAGTTATCATTAATATAATACCATTTAATATACTTCTAATACCTGTTGTCATCATTATTTTAGTGTTCAAATTGTCCTAGATTTGACCAGTGAGAGTCCCTGTAAGCTAGCTTTTGTGTCCTTTTGATATGTGCCATCATTCTCTGAGGACTTTCTTACTTTCTGGCATAAAATGTTTCAGGCACATCATTTGTGTTCTCTGCCCCAGCCCTGGGATCAGGTATTTTCCAGAGAATTTTGTTTGCTTTTCTTGGTGAATGTTAATGTAGAAACCAAGATCTAGGTGCTAGGCGACTTTCAGTATTTCCTAGAGTGTGCCTGGAACCTCTTATTGCCACATGTGGCTGTGTAGATTGTACATAGTACAATTTGAGGAAAGGGATCATTTATAAACATTTTTATGGTTCTCAACACATATTTACAAATATTGCTTTTGGAAGTTTACAGTGCACTAGTTTACAGTGCTATGACCGATTTCCAAAGGTACCAGTTTTACCACACTCCTAGAACATAGATTATTCTAATCTTTACTTCCTACTTAGATATATTCTAAAGCATACATTTAGCATTTTACATGGTGAAGTTAGAACTGCTAGAGTATAAACTGTGGACATGAACATCAACTCAGTTAATTTCTAGCTCTATAATTCTTGACAGAACCTAAAGATTCAGTCCCTTTCTGCACCTAGACACGTTAACAGCTAACCTATTGTATATTTAATATCCTTTGTGGAATAAAGTACTATTTCACATTAACTATAAATAAAAACATTTACCTTTTACAATGTTCTGTTAAAATAATATCTCAAAGAAACCTATAATACATATTAATATATATAATAACAGTTTTCATTTACTAAATTAAAAGTTTGGAATTGTCTGTTTTTTTCCAAGCATAAAACCAGTGCTAGGGCCTTCCTAGCTCTTAAGATTTAACACATTGTTCTGATAATTTTTATTAGCTACCAGTGAGCTCTTTAAAAGAAAGATGACATGTAGTTCATAAAAATAAAGGTTAACCACAGCTACCAGTAAATAATATATTTTTCAGAAATAGTGTTTTTCTGTTTTTCCATTTAGTTGCTATAGTTATATTTTCATTTTTAATATTTATCAGTATTTTCCACTCAGATTTGTATTTACAACAATATGATTTATTAAAGTATACCAGTAATATCCTTTTTGTTTTTATTTGGTTTATTCTGTAGGTTTCAGGAGGAGAAGATGAAATTCAACAATTGCAAAAAGCATTGCTTGATTACTTGGATGAAAACACTGAGACCGATCCTTCACTAGTGGTAGGATTCTTTTCTTTTTTGGAGATATTATGTTTGTTTAAATTGGATCTAAAAGCAAATTGAGAGGTGGCATGAAAAGGATAAATTGTTTAGAATGTCAATTTTGAAACATAGGGACATTTGATAATCTAAACAGAAAAGAATGTTATGGGTTGATTTGTCTTATGTGGAATACTAGTTACAGGTATTGTAGTATACTAAGATTGTGTGACAAGAAAAATATTGGGAAATCTTTCCATAAGTTATCTTTGAGACTAGGCGAGGGCATTGGTTCTTAGAGAAGGTATGGCCAGGTGGTATATGAGGTGATACATTAGCATACAAAAAGAAACTATTAATTTTTATATGTGTATTACTGTTTAAATATCCTTAGTTCTATTTTTATGTATGTTATATAATATATCCAAAATAATTAGTATAGTAAGTGATGTATAAAATTTATAAACTATATTAGAGAACAATAGTATGTATATATTGCAGGTTTTTTGTTTTTTTGTTTTTTTTTAACTGATGGTATATGCAGTGGAAAGATTGGTGACCACCAAGGTATTCAACCAACTATTGCAGGTTTTCAGTCTGTATTCAGAGGAACAGATTTAGAAGTGTGCCTCGGTGTTAAACTAACTCAATGATCATCGGCCTGTGTATTTCTGCAAGAAATAAGGCAAGGTTTGATAACAGATGGAGTCTTCTACCTTCCAGCATTTTATTCATTTATTCTAAACTTTTCTAGTTGACCCATCACCTATCTAATTTTATTGACATTAATAAGTTTTCTATCATCCAGGATATTCCATATTTTCTAGCTTTCTTAAAGTGTTTTTATCTGATGGAAGTTGTTTTCAAGTAAAAATATTTGTATTCTTAATTGTGAGCACTGTAACTTTATTAATGACTTGGAAACCTCGTTATTAATTTCATCAAGCTCAAGTCTGTCTAATTTCTTTCTAGTTTTCTCGTAAATTCTATATAGCCCAGTGGTTTCGTGACACAACTCTGGAAACAGAAAAAGCAATGAAATCACAAAAAGATGAAGAATCGTCTGAAGGAACACATCATGCAAAGGAAATTGAGACAACTGGTCAAATTATGCATCGAGCTGAAAACCGGAAAAAGTTTCTTAGAAGCATTATCAAAACCACACCTTCTCAGTTCAGCACATTAAAGTAAGATACACAGAGAAAACATATCTATTTTTTCAGTTATCTCTTTGATATCTATTTACCTAAGGTCCAAAAAAATAAATTTTTAATGACTTTGTTACAGGATGAACTCTGATACTGTGGACTATGATGATGCTTGCTTGATTGTTCGATACTTGGCCTCTATGAGGCCTTTTGCCCAGAGCTTTGATATTTATTTGACACAGGTAAACCTGGCCAGAATTCCTTATACAGTGATATTCATTTTTCTGAGTCTGGATGCTTTTGGGGTACAACATCTATTCATTGTTGAGCGTGTATATTTAAAAGATCATAGAAGTAGCATTTGTTTCTATATTCCATATTTGTTGAAGTGTCCTTGTTCTGCATGCCTTTTATATATTGATTCCTTTAATCACTTTTACAGATAAATGGATATATATCTGTATGAATGTACACACATATGGTATAGGTAGAATATAAAAATTATAATTATACATTATAAAAATAAATTATTCAATTACCAAATTATGATTTAAATGATACTAACTATCCTTGATTAAAGTTCCACATAGCAAGATTTTAGTGGAGCTACAAGTTCTTGCAAATGAAGCATAGCAATATAAACCAAGTTTAATTGGGAATGCCAGGATAAAGGAAAGGCCCCAGTGTATAAAATGCCTCATTTACCACATATACTGATCTTTAAGTTAAAGCTTTGGATCAGTAAGATCTTTTATTCTTTTATATATATATACATTAAAAAGAGGTAAATAATAAGTTTGTTTTTTGTATGTCCTCATGCTATATTTTGTTAAATTTTATGTACTCTAAGATTTATGAAAATTTCAATGTATGTTTGGCAGATTCTACGAGTTCTTGGTGAAAATGCAATTGCCGTTCGAACAAAAGCCATGAAGTGTTTATCTGAGGTTGTTGCTGTAGACCCCAGTATTCTAGCAAGGGTAAGGAGAACAAAAATGATTTGTCTTACTTGGGTTTTCTATTTAAATTAAAATATTAGCTCTATTTAATATAAATTAAATTTTCTTCATTTTTATTTAGCTTGATATGCAGCGAGGAGTTCATGGACGATTAATGGATAACTCCACTAGTGTCCGAGAAGCAGCAGTAGAATTGCTAGGTCGATTTGTCCTTTGTCGACCTCAGCTTGCTGAACAGTATTATGATATGCTGATTGAAAGAATATTGGTATGTTTGCTTTGTCATTTCTATGAATGATTCATGAATATAATTTTGCCTTTCGAGTATCATGTCTTAACATGATTTTAAAATGTTAAGCCAGAAAAGTAAATGTATCAGTTATATATTTATATTGCCTAATCTGTGAACTATTAAAACTTTCTAAAGAAGGACATATTGGGCCGGCCCCATGGCTCACTTGGGAGAGTGCAGCACTGGGAGCGCCAAGGCCACGGGTTTGGATCCTATATAGGGATGGCTGGTGCACTCACTGGTTGAGTGTGGTGTGGACAACACCGTGCCAAGGGTTGCAATCCCCTTACTGGTCAAAAAAAAGAAGGATATGTTTTCAAGAGGAGTGCTCTCAATATTGTAAAACAAATCATTTGCAATAATTGGATTCCTTTTTTCAGTTACTATAACTTTTTATTGTACATGTTTATGGGGTACAGTTTGATGTTTCTATACATGCATGTATTGTATAATCTAATCAGAAGAGGTAGCATAACTGTCACCTAAATATTTATCATTTCTCTGTGGTTATAACATTCAAGATACTCCTTTCTGGCTATCTTGAAATATACAGTACAGTATTATTAGCTATTGTCACCCAGCACTAGAACTTATTCTTCCTATCTAACTGTAGTTTTGTAACCTTGCACCAGTCTGCAACCTTTCCCTGGCCCCTCAACCCCTGTTTCTTTACCTGCCTCTGGTGACTACTACTCTATTTCTCTCTTCTTTTCTCTTTATTTTTCTTAATTGACCCATGATAATTGTATGCATTGATGAATAATATTTGGGTATATTCATACTGTGTACAATAATCATATCAGAGTGCTTAGTATATCTAACACCTCAAACATTTGTCATTTCTTTGTTAGCAACATTCAACATCGTCTTGACTAGCCATTCAGAGATACACAGTACTTTGTTGTTAACTGTATTGTCCCTGTATTACTCAGATACCTGCAAGCTAAGTCTGAAGCATTTACCTGGATAATAAAAGGAGACGTTGGCATTAGGAAATATCTGGAATCTCTACACTACCCATTGCAGGCATATTGACTTCTTATAGAACTCAACATAGATGCATTAGTGCACAGGATTAGATATTCCCACAATGACAGGAATTTATTTTATCACCTTTAGCCTATCCAAACTATCAGAATATTGTGTGACTAAGAATTGTAGAGTAATTTTCAGCTTCAACTAGGCATAAAATCTTGGTTGAAAAAACAAATAATTTAAGGAAAGGGTATGAGAATTTTTTAATATTTCAGTCTTTTCAAGAGTAAAGGGTAAAATCAACAGGATTCTCAAATATCTAATGAACTCTGACAGAGTTGACCCTAGCAAAATCTCCTAAAAAGTTCTTAGGATTGCTAAACTTTGTAATGGAGATTAATATTTTTTCAAGCTTAGCATCTGATGCTTTTAATTTATTTTGAAAACTCTTTAATATGAAAATTTAAGTTAAAAAAAATAGTACAATGAACACCCATTATCTACCTACATACTTTATGTATTCTTTTTGTTAAATTATTTTAAATTAAATTACAAACATTTTAATACTTTTCCCCATGGATACTGCTGCTTGTATCACCAAAAAGTAAGGATACTGTTCTGCATAAACAGAACTATTATTTCACCCAATCAAATTAACAGTCCCTAATATCATCTAATAACTAGTTCATATTCAGATTCTCCAATTGTCCCACAAATGTCTTTTTCAGACTTTTTAAAGAATCAAAATCCAATTAAAGATAACACATTGCATTTGGGGATCAAGTCATTAAATTAAAAACTATTTATTCTCTTACTTTTTTATACACTTCCCCTATGACATTGACTGGTTAAAAAGACCAGGTCAGTTTTATTATTTCCCTTTTGTGTGGTGTATTCTTCTAAACAGTAAGATAGTGCCAAAGGTTTGACTAGATTAAGGTTAAACATTTTTTGTTCAGTCTACTTTATATGTTCTACTTCATGTGCTGTTTAAGTGCCCACATTGTTCTAAAAGCTTTGTGTTTATTATCCCATTTAATTCTGGCAAGCTTATACTCTAGTCTTGTGTCCAGGGCTGAACTATAGAACATGTTTCTGTGTCTTGGATATCATATTTTGGAAGTAAAGACAACATAATAAAATAACTCATATTCATAGTAACATTATTAAGAAGTATGTAAAGAGCAAATACACAGACCATGTTTATTATGTTTATGGGTACTTATTTTCTAATTTCATTTTATCAAATTTCACACCCTAAGGTATCTCAGTTTTCTGACATAAAAATACCTTTCTGTTCTAGGATACTGGTATCAGTGTCAGGAAAAGAGTAATAAAGATTCTCAGAGACATCTGTATTGAACAACCAACATTTCCAAAAATTACAGAAATGTGTGTAAAAATGATTCGCAGAGTCAATGATGAAGAGGGCATTAAAGTAAGATGAGACATTGACTACTTTAATATTTATGTTTTATCAATGTTTGAAAGTTAAATGTTTATTGCATCTAAATTTTGTTGATATATGTATATGTAAAAATTTTACAAGTGAATCAGCATTTTTAGTTTGTAAATGTAAGAAAAAGACATACTTTGATTTTTTTATTTCTAGATTTTGTATTAATAAAATCTGATCTTTCCCAACCAATTCAGCAATTACAATATTTATTTAATGTCATTGTAGAGACTGTGTTATATCCAAAAGGTTTAACATCAAATAAAAATTATTTTGATTTTCAAATGGCATGTGTTTGGTTTTCTAAATTAGTAAATAAATACTTTGCTAAGAGTTTAGTCCTACGTTTTTAAGTCAATTTACATATATATGTAATCATATATATGATTGTCCCTATTTCTTTTAAGTTTAGCAAATACTCTAACAACTCCAAAAGCAGAAGAAATATTTTTTAGTTCAATCAAAAACATTTCAGTGTATACTATGCAGAAGTTCTAAGCTCTAGACATAGTGTCACCCATTCAAATTATTTACAATCTTTACCCATTTGAAAAAGTTTATAATTTTGAAAAATTAATTGGTGGGTGATTTTTTTAAAAAATGAGTTCTGTGAGAAAATGTATAACAAGAATTCCCAGTAATTTGTGTTTTGATTAGTTACCTATAGCATTTTGTTGGGCCTTAATGAAAATTTGGTATTAAGAATTTGCCATGTTTGTTTGTAGTCAATTAATTGGAAATTTTTCTTTCTTCTAGAAATTAGTAAATGAAACATTCCAAAAACTCTGGTTTACTCCAACTCCACACAGTGACAAAGAAGCAATGACAAGAAAAATTTTAAACATCACTGATGTGGTAAGAAGGACTGAACAAGTGTGCACACTGGGGGTTCAAACCTAGTTTGAGGCCTACCCTGTCTTATGAAAAGAAGGACAATGATGAGATATTTAATTAATCTTGACATTTAGTACAGCTTCCTTTACTTTGTATTTCTGGAGATACTCAAGGGATGCAAGTAAGATGAAGTTGATGTTTCCACATAGCCCAGCTTCTTGGCATTCATTGACATAAACACTGAAAATGAGACTCTCCTATTCCTCCAACAATTGAAAACAGGAAAGGAAAAGATAAGTGGAAGAATGATACAGTAGCCCAGGGGTAGCAACCTGCAAAGAGAAAGTAATTCCTACCTTTTTCAGAAAATCTGAATTTAGATTAGTTTCGTTTTGTTTATTATACACATAAACTATAGATTTTTTTGACCCAAATACTTTTTATGTTTTGAACATAAGAAATTTTACATACTCAATTATATGATCTTCACCATTTCTGGTATCTTTAAATCTATCATCTAGAAGGATAATGAGACAAATTGTTTTAGATCCTACAGATCTTTCTGATAGTGTGATTCAAATTACTGTTCAAAATTTAGTACCACATTAAATTTCATTTAAACTAATTTCTTTAATGTCTTCCAAGATATTTTTAGAATAAAATTCTGTAACATTGGTAAATGTTTGAGTTATTGAAAAAAAAAAATTGTCTACTTTAAAAGTAAACCTTTTAATTGAGAAAATTGAGACATTTGTATGCTTCAGGCTACAGCATAACAAAGTATATTTTATTCAGATTTTTAAATAAGTGTCTAATTTTGATACTTTCACCTCTTATTTCCTCCTTAGGTTGCAGCATGCAGAGATACTGGCTATGACTGGTTTGAGCAACTACTTCAAAACGTGAGTATTATTTTGACTCCTGATAATATGAAATTTAATAGAAGGTCAGTTCTTCATAGACTTTATGATTTAAAAGATTATTTTCAGTTATTAAGTATTTGCCTTTTGGTAGGGAAAATCTATTTCAGTACATTAGGCCAAATGTTTTTCTTAATTTTCCTGTTTTATCATTATTCAGTTGCCTGTTGTAAGTTTTCTGAATCACCAATTAAAATCCTATCTTCCCTTCCTTCCAGATAATTATTTCTGCACTTATCCTTTTCATCTAGGTAACAGACATGAGATCTATAGATATACAGATTGCATTAAATATGTAATTACACTGTTTGGCATGTTATAAAATACATAGAATGTACTGTAGTGGTGTGGAATTAAACCACAATTAGTGATTTTTTAAGGTTTTATAAGTGGAAATATTTATCTTCCTATGAATTTTTAATTTTTTATTTCAGAAATTTTCAAATAAACAGAAAAATTCATCACTTGGCTTCAAAAATTATCAGCATTTTTCAAGTCTTGTTTTACCTATCCTTCTCCTCTCTTTTTTTTTGCTTTAATATTTTTAAAACAAATCCTAGATTTTATATCATCCTAACCACAAATACTTTAGTGTCCATTTCTAGCAGAGAATGACTTTAAAATATATATATATCATTATAATCTATATCAAAATAAATAATATATTATTCCCTAATATCTAATACTTGTTCAATATTCACTTTATTCCAGTGTCTCATAAATATATTTTTATAGTTGGTTTGGTTGATCTAGCTCTTAAGTCTTTTGGTCTGTAATAGTTGACTCTTCACCTCCCTTTTCTAATGCCCCCTATGTTTTCCTGTACAGTGTCCCAAGTTCTGGATTTCGTAGATCTGATCTAGAGGCTTAACAAGATTGAAGTTTAGTTTTTAGGGTAGGAGACATGAGTACTTCATAGGTGGCGCTGAATAGTATTACACCACATCAGGAAATACATGTCTGATTGTCTCATTTTTAGTGATTGATCTTTGAGTTTAGGTGTTGTCAGCCTGATACATCTGTTATAAAGTCTTTCAGTATCGGTTTCTGTGATCATTACTTAGATCCATTATTTCCATTAGTTGAGAAATGGTGATTTTTCTAATTCTTTTATTCCTTCTGTGTTAATTAGCAGGATTCTTCTTTAAAAAGGAATTTTTTAATTTTTTAATTTTTTTCCTTATTAAATAGTTGGTTACTGTGAAATAAAGTTTATACAAGAAAGGCAGGGAAAATGCTTGATTCTTTTCTGTTACTTATCAATTTTGCAGAATGACTTTTCCTGTCAACCTCCAGAGGTGACCAATGACTGAACTAATTGATTTTTATGTGTATGATGTGTTTTAATTTATTGCAATGATTATTCTTTTTGAAGCTCGATTTTATCCCATCTTTGCCCAGTAGTAGTCTCTTCAAGTTAGTTCTATGCCTGCCCTTTCAAAGTATAGACCTAGAAATATGTACTTTTTAGAAAAAGGAAAATAATTTATTTTGATATTTTTAAACCTTATGAGTTTATGGGATTTTACTTCTTTGATTTTATTCTTTCCTTTGGCTAAGAACCTTGGTTTTTAAAGAAATTAACAATTATTTATTTGCTGTGCCCTAGTATATTAACAGTATGATTTCATGGGGCCGGCCCGGTGGCACGCTCCACTCACTCTGACAGAAAGCTGGATCTATTGGCAGAAAAGTTCACTCAGAGGGTACTTTTAACTAATTAGTCGACTCAGAGGAGGTGCCATTATCTAACTGATGGGGAGACAGGGCAAGGATCACCTTTTTGGCAACTCCTCGGCAGGCAGAGTATCCTATAAAAGCTCCTTGTGGCCCTATATTACTAGTTAGATAAAAGAATGAATCAAGGGCCGGCCCGGTAGCGCACTGCTACAGTGCGCCGCTTAGGAAGCGCGGCAGCGCTCCCACCGAGGGTTCGGATCCCACATACAGACCGGCCGCTCACTGGCTGAGCGAGGTGCGGGCGCAGCACCAAGGGTTGCGATCCCGTTGCCAGTCCCGGTCTGGTACGGGCGCGACACTGAGGGTTGCAATCCGTTGCCGGTCACGAAAAAAGACAAAAAAAAAAAGAATGTAATTAAAAATTTCTTTGTATTTCTTTTAGCTAAAGCTCAGTACAGGTATTACATTAAAACTCTGTCTTTAAATAACTTTTTTCTGTTTGGTTATGTCAACAACTTATTGTCAGGTTGGGTTCGTTTGTTTCTGTTTACTTTTAGCAATTTTTAGGAATGTTTTTAGTAATAACATAATAGTGATACTTTTAACAATGAAAATTGGTTTGTTGAGGCATAATTTGCATGCGAAAATATTCACTAATTTTAGGTATATACAGTTGGATGAGTTTTAGTAATTATATACAGTCATGTAATCTCCAGCACAATCAAGATAATCCTAAAAACCTTCTTCATGCCTTTTTGTAGTCCATCCTTACCCCTCCCCCCGCCCTATGAAACCACTGATCTTCTTTCTGTCACTGTAGTTGTACATTTTCTAGATTTTTGTACCAGTGGAATCACACAGTATACAGTCTTTTGTGTTTGACCTCTTTTATACTTAGCAGAATGTTGTTGAAATTCACTTACGTTGCTAGTATATTAATATTTTGTTTCTTTTTATTGCTGAGTGTTGCTTTGCGTTGCTTCACTCCCCATGGATTTGTCACCCCAATTCCCCTGGGTGAGGGAGATGAAAGGATTACTCATAGCCCATCTCTTCCGAGCAGTGAGAAGCCCGGAAGTGGTTAATCTCCTGCTGGAACCCTCACACAAGAGGGATCCCTTCCTTGGGAAATTAACACGGAATTGGGGTTCTCTTCCTGCATTAATTTTTCAGACCAGGAAGTTACAGGAAGAGAACAAAGGTGGGGTTATAGTTTAACAGTATAGGCTGGTAACTTTCAGTGAAACAAGCCAGATGACATTCCAGTAGACAATTAAGTGATCTTATCAACACAAGCTTGATCTTAGCAAACATTCCTTCTTACAGCAATTTCTCAGTATCTTTACATAACAATCAGTAACTAGTCTGTCTGCAAGCCAGCAACCTGCTGTGCCACAAATCTTTATCTTACACCATAGACTTATAGCCTGAGGAAAATTTCCTGTCCTTGCAGGGTCAGTATTTGAAACGCAGGCCTGTGAAGTACATATGCTTTATAGTATATTCCACAGCTGAGTAGTTTCAATAATATGGTCATATCACAATTTTTTTACAATTTACCAACTGATGAACTCTGGGGTTGTTTACAGTTTTTGGCCATTATGAATCATGCTGCTGTGAATATTTTTGTATAAAGTTTTTGTGTGGATGTGGTTTTCATTTCTCTTGGGTAAATTCCTAGGAGTGCAATTGTTGGATCATATGCTGAGTGAGAAACTGCCAAATTGTTGTTCCAAAATGGCTAACTCATTTTGCATTTCCACCAGCAATGTATGAGAGTTCTGGTTGCTCTACATCCTCACCAATTCTTGGTATTGTCAGTCTTTTTAAAAACTTTAGGGTTGGCTGGTTAGCTCACTTGGTTAGAGCGTGGTGCTGAGAACTCCAAGTTCAAGGGTTTGGATCCCCCTACTGGTCAGCTGCCAAAAAAAGAAAAACTCTCTCCCCACCCCCCAAAAAAACCAAAAACAACTTTAGCCATTCTGGTGTGGTGGTATATAATAGTATGTTTCTTTAAAAAAGTTTTAAGATGTCTTTTTTTTTTTTCTTAAGACACCTTCATGGTGTTTACCTGTGTTATCCAAACTATGATATATTAGACTCTCTTCATAAATCATCTTTCATTTCATATTTTTATTTGACATATTTTGCATCATTTCCTTTTTAAATCAAATAATTAGGTCCATATTTATGGAACCTTATGACTACCTTAGTTTAGTTCATGTCAGCCATTCCAAAGGGGACATCACCATAATTTCTAAAAGGCTCCAGAACCGCATGTTTGGATCCCCATACTAGCCAGCCACCAAAAACAAAATGAGGAAAAGCACTATCGTAGCCTTATGATAGGTGCACAAAAATTGGATTGACTTTGTAATGCTATTTAATTACTTATTATCCAACACTGGTCCTTTTTTTAGTTTATGAACAAAATGCAGACAATGAAAAACAGTTAAGGGTGACCCCTATTTCTTTTGTTCCTGGCCTTTGTAATCTAAAGCAAGATCTCCTTCTTGAAGTTTACAATCAAATATTCTCACTATCTATCTTCATCAGCTAGCAAATGGATAAGTCAACTGTGAAAATTCCATATAATTTAAAAGTACAGTTGTCCTTCAGTATTCACAGGGGATTGGTTCTGGGACCCCCCCACAAATACCAAAATCTTCAGATGCTCAAGACCCTAATGTAAAATGGTGTATTAGTCCGTTTTGTGTTGCTATAACAGAAATACCTGAGACTGGGTAATTTATAAGGAAAAGAGGTTTATTTGGCTTATGATTCTGGGACAGTTGCATCTGGCACGGGCCTCAGACTGTTTCTACTCATGGCGGAAAGTGGCAGGCAGCCAGCAGGTACAAACAGATCACATGGCAAGAGGAAGCAAGAGAGAGAAGCAAAAGAGAGAGAGCAGGTGCCAGGGTCTTTTTAAGCAAGGAGCTCTCGCGGGAACTAATAGAACGAAAACTCACTCATTAATCACCCCTCCCCCAGGGAGACCATTAATCCATTCATGAGGGATCCGCCCCCATGACTCAATCAGTTTCCAACACTGCCACATTGGATATCAAATTTCCACATGAGTTTTGGAGGGGACAACACATGCAAACTCCATCAAATGGTACGGTATTTGCATATAACCTATGAACATCCTCTTGCAAACTTTAAACCATCTCTAGATTACTTATAATATCTAATACAATGAAAATGCTATATAAATAGTTGTTATTATACTATATCGTTTAGGGAATAATGACAAGGGAAAAAAATCTGTACCTGTTCAATACAGATGCAACCATTATAGGCCTTACTAGATTTTTGATCTGCTATTTTTTGAATCCATGGGATGTGGAACCCTCCAATATGGAGGATTGACTGTACCCCACATCGAAAAGGAACAAACTATTGATACATACAGCAACACAGAAGAATAAATAAAACATTATGGGGAGTGAAAGAAGCCTTACACAGAAGATACATTTTATGATTTCATTTATATTACGTTCTAGGAGAGGCAAAACTAATCTGTATTGAAAAAAATCAGAAGAGCAGTTGCGGGAGGCTGGGGATTGACTGTGAAAGAACATGGAAGTTTCAGAGATGATAGTAATAGTATATATCAGTGGTTCTAAAGTTGTCAGCATTACCTGTGTATTTGTTAGAAATGCTAATTCTCAGGCTCTATCGCAGACTTAATCAGTAACTCTGAGGCTGGGGCCCCTCCTTCTATATGTCAGCAGTCTCTCCAGATGATTCTGATGCAAGTTAAAGATTGAGTTTGAGGTATAATGGTGAATGCATTTGACTGAACTGAGCAAATGTAAGCTGAAGATTTGTACATTTCATTGCATAGTACATTTTACCTCAAAAGGAAAAGGTGGGGAGTTTACTGATGTTTACAATTTACTTTGAAATGCATCAGAAGTAAAATGGATAGAGATGTATGTGTATATGAATACATATGCATACATATTTATATATATGCACATATACATGCATGAGTGTGTATGTGCGTGTGTGTGCATTCATCCCAGTAGAGTAAAATGTTAATGATAGAATCTAGATGGTGGGTAGAAGATGTTTATGGTAAAGTTTTTTCAACTTTTTTGTATCTTTGAAAATTTTCATAATAAAATATTAAAATGGTGTTTAGAAAGTACCTATATCACTGGGGATGTTGGTACCTTTCAAAAGGTATTTTTTAAGTGAGCAAACTAAATTATAGTATAGAAAAATTTTATATACTTTGATTAATTATTTAAATCATGAGTGCATGACTTATGCATATGTGCATGATCAACATTAAAGGAAAATAAATTATCATTTCAGAAGACCCCCCCAATTTTTTTTTTTTTTTTTTTCCTTTTTTGTCTTTTTTCATGACCGGCAATGGATCGCAACCCTCAGTGTCACGCCCGTACCGGACCGGGACCGGCCACGGGATCGCAACCCTTGGTGTTGCACCCACACCTCTCTCAGCCAGTGAGCGGCCGGTCTGTATGTGGGATCCGAACCCTCGGCGGGAGCGCCACCGCGCTTCCCAAGCGGCGCACTATAGCAGTGCGCCACCGGGCCGGCCCTACCCCCAAAATTTTTTGGATAAAATTTAATACCCTTGAATGATAACTTATAATAAACAAAGATAAAATGTAAATTTCTTAATCTGACAGAGAATAAACTACAAACCCGCAAATGAAAATCATGCAAGGGCCGCATATGACTCATGGCATGTGACTCATGGCAACCATATTGGACAACACAGATACACAACATTTCCATTACTGCAGAAAGTTATATTTGACAGCACGGGAAATCTTCACAGAAATCAAATACACATTTTGATTTTTTTAATATCTCCATAATTATATTAGCAAATTTTTATTAGCAAAACAGATATACTTTAAATGACTTTTCCATTGACCTATGATTATGGAAGATTGGATTAGTTTCACTTTTTGGCTATAGTTAGGCTGATCTTGTCCTCATCTTATTATTCGTAACATTTTTCTAGCATGTTTATTAATGACATGGCAAAGGATACCACAGAGGAAATCTACCCTTGTTTTATAATTGCAAATTTTAAAGTGTGATTCAGATGCAGTTACAATTATTAATTCTTTAAAATAATTCAACTAGTATTGAATGATAGTATTTGGTTTTGGTTGGAGCAAGGAAGAAAAGGAAGGTCACCTTTCTTTTATGTCTCATAGCCTACCTCAGGTCCTACACAAAATAATTTAGATGCTTCATACTAAAATCGTTTGTAAGTATTTGTAAATTTGGGGTTCATAAGATATTTAAACATGTATCATATATTTTTGTTTTTATTAATTTGCACTTTTGGTTTTAAATTGATGACAAATTGAAAAGCATATTACTTATGGACACATTTATGTTATTGCCAATGAATAATTATACTGGGATTTTTTTTCTTTATATATATACACATATAGTTGTTGAAGTCTGAAGAGGATTCCTCATATAAACCTGTGAAGAAAGCTTGTACTCAACTTGTTGATAACCTAGTTGAGCACATTCTTAAATATGAGGAATCTCTAGCTGGTAAGACATTTTATATATTGGTCCTTAAGTTGATTTTATAACTTATTTTAAAATACTTTTGGCATGTTTCTTGTTTTTGTCTCTGGCTCTGCTTGCCTAATAATTACTTCACTTTTAAATCAAATTTGTTTTTTGCTATATAGATATCTATTTGCTGTTGCATCGTAGAGTATGTTGTTCAAGTTGATTAAGATTATCTAGAGCAGTGTAATAAAAGGATAGGCCTTTTTTCTTCCACATATTTTTCAATAGCATATAATTTTAGATGTCATATTGAATAGGAATAAAAGTAAGCCCAGTGGATAATTAATATGTCTTTAGCTAATGACAGTCATCACAAACTGTTTGATATCTTTTAAATCATATAAAATTTTTTCTGAAAATGGAATTATTTTAACTTATAAATATGTTTTTAAAAGATTTGTATTAGATTTCTATTATTATAATTGTTATGCAAAATTTGCTTAATCTTGAGCTAGAAATTTGTTAAAATTTTTTAAATTCACAAGTTTTTAAGTACTTACTATTTTATATTATGTATCACTTTATTTAGTGGTCACAAATCTGAAATTTTTGATCAATATAGATAAAAATATATAAAAGTTATAGAAGATACCCAACTGCTTAAAGCATAAAAATTAACATTACTTCCCATCTTCTAATGTTAGTGAGAAACCACAATCAGCCTCTTTAACTGACTCCAGAATTTTCCAGAATTGGGGCCAATAGCCATTTATGGCATCTAAGGAAATTGTTGATTTTTTTAATGTGCAATTTTTTCCTTTAATTTTTTTTTTTCAGTTTCCATGTGTGCATCTTTTTTCTTTTTATCTCCTTATTCTGTTTCCCCTATTTTTCCCTATTGTAGATTTTAAGGGTGATACTGGTGTTCCTTAATGTTAAAAAAGTTGCTAGTCCCCTCTAAAAATTAGTTTCCTAAGAACCAGTGTCCTAACTAGCAACATTTTCCTCAAACCTTGACCAGCATTTTGTTTTCTAGTATAGCATTGGCCCAGCGTCTCAATTTGTCCCTCCCGTTTTTTAACATTCTTCTACCACAGCAATATCTTTTTTCCCAGTACCCTTAAACCCGGTATCACCTCAGGTAAACTGTTTCTGTCCTCCTTTTCTAACTTTCTTTCCCATATTCATGTCCATGTATTTATAGAATAACCAATACATATTTATTCCCAGAAGCCCATCCCTAAACTTCACAACTTTCATTCTACTTTTTAATGTCAATCCTATTCCTGTTTTAAAATTGGCCTTCTATAGCATGGCCTCTTTACTCTTTATCTTCGGTATATGTCGTTTCTATAACAAAGAAAAAAATGAGATGCAGAAAGTCTACTATCATAAGAAATGCTAATCCATTACATTGAGGCCTATACTAAATCTATTTAGGGAATAATATTTAGGGAATTCTGTATAATTTCCACCGTCTTGTCATATTTTAGTGTCTTATTTCTCTGTTTGTTTTTCCAGACTCTGACAATAAAGGTGTGAATTCTGGAAGATTGGTAGCTTGCATAACCACTTTGTTCTTGTTCAGCAAAATAAGACCCCAGCTCATGGTTAAACATGCCATGACTATGCAACCATACCTTACCACTAAATGTAGTGTAAGTATAAAGCTGTCTTATTTTTCTGTCTTAACACAAAACTTGTAGTATTTTAAATTTAGAATTCACACGTGTCAACTACACTCTCACCAACAGATAACCTGTGTCCTTTACTCAAATATATGTTCTGGGCCGGCCCGGTGGCGCACTGCTACAGTGCGCCGCTTGGGAAGCGCGGCGGCGCTCCCACCGAGGGTTCGGATCCCACATACAGACCGGCCGCTCACTGGCTGAGCGAGGAGCGGGGGCAACACCGAGGGTTGCGATCCCGTTGCCGGTCCCAGTCCGGTATGGGCGCGACACTGAGGGTTGCGATCCGTTGCCAGGCACGAAAAAAAAGGACAAAAAGACAAAATATATATATATATGTTCTAATATTTGTACCAAGTTATCTACAAACATCAACTTTCTGATGTATTATAAATAAGGTTCAGGCTCCATTTCTCTTTAAGTTCCTCAAGCCAAACTTTCAGTAATACTTAGTAAACGTTGTAGCTGTTGTTAACAGCTCAAAAGTGAATGAAGCTGAGTTCTTGTCTTTGAGAAATTTACTATCTCATGGATTCTAAATTTGCTTTTCATTTGTCTGTCATTTATTATATAGTATATTATGAATATACTTTTATTCTCATAAGCAATCAATATATTGCATACGTAAAATCTGGTATCATATGAGATATGTTAGCCTGTTATTTTAAGTTAATATTAACATATACTATGTTTTCCTGAAAAAAAATGTGACAATTAAATAAAACATTGCTTAAGTAAAATAATCCAGCAAACCAAGTGAGATTTAAAAAATACATAAGATACATGGTGAGTTAAGTGGTTTGTTAAAAATGCTAAATTTTAAAATACTATAAAAACTTACAAATGTAAATGGTTTTTCATATACTGTTTCCAGTGGGATTTGTTTGTTTGTTTTATTGGTTATGGATATTCATGGGGTACAAAGTTGGCCATCATCACTTGTGCCCAAGGTGTGATATTCAGACCAGTACTATCAGCGTGCACATAACCACAAATTGTGATTATTCCCCATGTCTCCCACCCAATTAATCCCTGACTTCCCTCTCCCCTCCCCACCCCACTCCACAACCCTAGATGTGCTCTCTCCCTCTGCAAGTCCAACACACCACTGTGATCTTTCTCTCCTTCCTTCTTTCTCTCTTAGTTCCCACTCATGTGTGAGGACATATGGTATTTTTCCCTCTGTGCCTGGCTTATTTCACTCAACATAGTTTTCTCCAAGCTCATCCATGTTGCATAAATGGCAGAATTTCATTCTTTTTATGGCAGAGTAGTATTCCATGGTGTATGTATACCAGGTTTTCCTTATCTAGTCATCCGTCAATGGACATTTAAGTTGGTTCCATATCTCGGCTATTGTAAATAGAGTTGCAGTGAACGTGGAGTGCAGGTATCTCTTTGACATGACGATTTCCATGCCTTTGGATATATACCTAGAAGTGGGATTGCTGCATCATATGGTAGATCTATCTGTAGTTGTTTAAGAAACCTCCATAGTGTTTTCCATAGTGGTTGTACTAATTTACAGTCCCACCAGCAGTGTAGGAGTGTTCCCTTCTCTCCATATCCTTGCCAGCATTTGTTGTTCTCCATCTTTTTGATTATAGCCAGTCTTAACTGGGGTGAGGTGATATCTCAATGTGGTTTTAATTTGTATTTCCCTGATGATTAGTGATGTTGAGCATTTTTTTAAGTGTCTATTGGCCATTTGTATGTCTTCCTTAGAAAAATGTCTATTCAAAGCTGGCCAGTTAGTTCAGTTGGTTTGAGCGTGGTGCTGATAACACCAAGGTCCAGGGTTCGATCCCTGTGACCAGCTACCAGAAAAGAAAACAAAAACAAATCCCTTTACTTGCTAAAGAAAAATGTCTATTCAGCTCCTTTGCCTGTCCATTTTTTAATTGGGTTATTTGTTTTTTACTATGTAATTGTTTGAGTATTCTGGATATTAATCCCTTGCTGGATGTGTAGCTTGCAAATATTTTCTCCCGCTGTTGGTTATCATTTCACTCTGTTGATTGTTTCCTTTGTTGTGCAGAAGCTTTTTAGTTTGATATAGTCCCAATTGTTTATTTTTTCTTTTGTTGCTTATGCTTATGCTCCTGTTCATGAAGTCTGTACCCATTCCTAGTTCCTGAAGTGTTTCCCCTATATTTTCCCTTAGTAGTTTTACAGTTTCAGGTCTTATATTTAAGTCTATAATCCATTTTGAGTTGATTTTGGTATATGGTGAGAGGTGCAGGTCTAGTTTCATTCTTCTGCATATGGATATCCAATTTTCCCAGCACTACTCATTGAAGAGGCGGTCTTTTCCCCAGTGTTTTTGTTGCCTTTGTCAAGTATGAATTGACTGTAAAAGTCTGTGGGTTGATCTCTGGGTTCTCTGTTCTGTTTCACTGGTCCAAGTGTCTATTTTATGCTAGTGCTGTGCTGTTTTCGTTACTATAGCTTTGTAGTATAATTTGAAGTCAGGTAGTATTATGCTCTGGCTCTTTTTTTTTTTTTTTTTTTGGCTCAGGATTGCTTTGGCAATTTGGGGTCTTTTGTTGTTCCATATGAATGTTAGGATTGTTTTTTCTATTTCTGTGAAGAATGTCATTGATATTTTGATGGGGATTGCACTGAATCTGTAGATTGCTTTGGGAAGTATGGACATTTTCTTGATTCTTACAATATAACAGGATGGAATGTCTTTCCATCTTTGTGTGTCTTTAATTTCTCCACTGTTTTTAAGGAGCTTATATTAACTTTTTTTTTCTTTTTGCTGCTATAGTCAGGTTTTTTTTGCTGATCTAAATTACAAGTTCTAGGTGAAAACCTCAGGATTTCTTGAAAAAATTCTAAGAACTGAAGAGAGTAATAGAGGATAAATATGTAAAAACAACATATATTACTTCTGAGACACTAATTCTTTTTTTTCTACTTTTTTTTATTGAAACATAATTGGCTGTGCATATCTATGGGGTACAGTGTTGAATATCAGTACCTATGTGCAATATGTGGTGCTCAAATCACGAAAATTAGCGTATTCAGCATTATACGTTGTAATCATTTTTGGGGGCCCTTTACCAATTGCTTGCTAACCCGCCTTCCCTCTCCCCTTTCCCACCTCTGGTGGCCTCAGTTCTGTTTGAGACAGTAATTCTATCTTTAGGTCGTGTATTAGGTCTAGAAATAAGTTTGTTAATATGCAATATGTGGCCAATAATAATAGCTAATATTTATAGAGCACAGTATCAGGCACTGTGAAGAATTTTACATGCATGTTATCTCATTTACTTTCTGAAGTAGGTACTATTATTATCTCAGTTTTACAGATAAGGAAACTAGAGCTTAGAGAATATAAATAATTTGCCCAATATCACATAGTTAATTAGTCCCAAAGCTAGAATTCATCCTCACATCTGTCTGCCTGTAGAGTCTATACTATAATGTAAACTGTATAAATAGTCCTTGTGGTTTTGAGCCAGTATTTTTTGAAAGGAAGATCACTGTTTAAGCACCTTGTGAGTTTTTTATGTATGTATATACACAAATATAAAGTTTTATATGACTAAAACCATCTCCTACATGGTAGACACTCTTTTTAATGTTTTTGTTTTTGTATCCTGTCCCCATCTTTATTCTTCCTCCTTTCAGGGCAGTCAACCTGGAGTATCCTTACATACTTTATCCATGCATCTATAAATGTGGACACATAAACATATATAAATGGTTGACCAGATTTTTTAAAACTCGGTTCATGTTGTATACATTATTTCTTAGGCATATTTACTATTCTCACATCACCTAGTATACAGTATATCTAATTCATTCTTTTAAATGGCTATATATTATCCATTTTATGGATGTTCTATTTTTTTATTTAATCACTCCGTATTTGGCAGGTACTTACCTTGTTTCTATTGATCATACTACAAACAGATCCTTAGTAAGCATTCCTATTCATGTACCTTAAGTACTGGTACTTTTATTTCCTTGGGACAGATTCTTAAGAATGGACTTGCTGGGTTGAGAGAATGGCTTTTTTGGTTTTGATTTTGAATAGATTATTGCAGATTGTTGGTGGACATGTTTTATAGCCTTTTTGGAAAGCTGTATATGACAAGCAGTATCATTATTTTTGTACTCTTTGCCAGTCTAACTGATGTAAAGCAATAATTCATTGTTGCTTTTTGTTTCCTTCTCTGACTTTTAAGAAAGTTGAGCATCTTTTCATGATATTGTCCAGTTGGACTTGCTTCTCTATGAATTGACTATTCATATCATTTTCATATTATTCACCGATTTTTACCTCTGAATTCTGGGCCTTTTTTTTCCCCCAGGTTTTAAAAGCACTTTCAGTAATTTAAATATTTTGGATACTAAATGAATACATTATATTCATTTCAAATATATCTTTCTAGCATTTAATTCTGCTACTCTTTTTTTCTTTATGATTTCCATCTTTCTATAAAATTTCTTCTAGAATTTAAGGTATTTCTTTTACTTGATTTTCCAAGCCATTGTGTTTAGTGAAGTTTCAGAACATGCCACTATATATTTCTAAAAAGTAAAATGTTAGCAATGGTCCTCAAATGAATTATCTTACCCAATAAAAATTTTTCTATCCCAACACCCACTTTAACTCATCCGCTATCGCTTAAAGGGGCTGGGGTTGGAGATGTCAGGAAACAATAGGATTTCTATGTTACTTAGAAATAAGTAGTATTCATCTTATCTTTTTTTGTTTTAATCCTGTGGGGATCCTGAAAGGAAGGGTGAATGTGCAGTGGGAAAGTTTTTAACCAGTGAGATAGTACGTTCAAAAAGGCCAAAATGAGTGTCAGTCATCCATTGCCAAGAATGAAGAATGGTAGCTTTGCTAGATTAAAAACATACACTGAATGCCTCGCTGTACATAAAACAAACTAGAAACTTTGGTTGCTTTTAGGGAGAGAAACTGAGTGGCTGGAGGACAGATGGGAAAAGACTTGTTGTAAATCCTTTATTACTTTTCCATTTGTTTTTAATGCTCTTATTTTTTATTGTTTTCATTTTTTGGCTGGCCAGCACAGGGATCCAAACCTTTGACCTTGGTGTTACAAGGGGACACTATAACCAACTGAGCTAACTGGCCTACCGCTACTAATTTTTTAAAAACATGCTTAGTTTTTTAAATCATAGAAAAATATGTTTAAATTTAAAATAAAAAAGCCTTATGCCTACTTCTAGGGTTCTACATTTTTCCCTGTCATAAAGTTTAACATAGGATTTCTCATCCGCAGTACTATTGACAGTTAGGGCTGAATTAGTCTTTGTTGTCAGGGACTGCTCTATGCATTATAGTATGTTTAGCAGCATCCTGGCTTGTATCCACTAGATGCCAGTAGTACCCCCTTCAGCTCCCATTGTGACAACCAAAAATGTCTCCAAACATTGCCAAATACTGCTGGGGGGATACTGCCCGCCCTGCACACACATACACCTGAGGACTACTAGGTTAAGATACCCCAGTATGAAAAATACTAATCTTAAAAACTGGTACCAGTCTTTCAAAATACTCTGTTAATATTTAAATACCTGGGCTGAGCCCGTCGCGCACTCGGGAGAGTGTGGCGCTGGGAGCGCAGCAGCGCTCCCGCCGTGGGTTCAGATCCTACATAGGGATGACAGATGCGCTCGCAGCGCTCACTGGCTGAGCCGCAGTGCGGCTGGTCTCAAAAAGGACAAAATAAATAAATAAATAAATACCTTTGTTTAGAATCGACTTGTATTGCATTTTAGAAAAAAAAAAAAAAAAAAACATTAACATTGTGATAAAGTGAGCCCAAGGTCACATGATAAGTTTGTGGCAGAGCCAGAATCTAGATTCCTGATATACTGTGATGCTCTTCTTCACATAACTTTTTTAAAAAGCTCTTTTCTAATATACTATTTTTTAACTGAAACCTTATATAAATAATAACCCTACCCTTATCCCCAAATACATAAAGCTGTTTAGAGTTTCTTTTCAGATTTTGGATATTCATAAAGCATTAATTTTATTCTTATAGACACAAAATGATTTCATGGTTATCTGCAATGTTGCCAAAATCCTAGAGCTAGTTGTACCACTGATGGAGCATCCAAGTGAAACTTTCCTTGCCACTATTGAAGAAGATCTAATGAAGCTTATCATCAAATATGGCATGACTGTAAGCATTCAGATTACCATCTCTTTATTGATTGGTATATAATTTGCATATAACTCGTAAAATATTACGTGTCAGATGTCAGTTCCAATATATTTCGTTATATTTTTAAAGCAAATATTTGTAAAAATGGTAAATTTTTAAAATAGCATATTTTTACCTTTATCTTTAACTTTTATCTAAATGGTAATATTTTCTATATCTTTTTTAGGTAGTGCAACATTGTGTGAGTTGCCTTGGGGCTGTTGTAAATAAAGTGACACAAAATTTTAAATTTGTGTGGGCCTGTTTCAATAGATACTATGGTAAGTTCAATGCCTTGGCTTTAAAATTATTCTGCTAGGTCCTAAAGTGTGTCCAACTCATTTTTAAACACATTGATAAAAGGTCAAAATCGAAGGGAATCATAAGAGATATGATTGTCCTCCATGGTCTAAGAAGCAATATTTTCTAGTGTCTTTTGTATTCTCTTAAGTACCCACTATGAATACTGCAGGAATTTATCCCCTCATAAGTAAAGGTTGGTAAAATTTTCACCCACTATGTAAAGTAAAATTTTCTTTTCTTCCTTTTTTTTTTTTTTTTTGTCTTTTTTCGTGTCCGGCAACGGATCGCAACCCTCAGTGTTGCCCCCGTACCGGACCGGGACCGGCAACGGGATCGCAACCCTCGGTGTTGCTCCCACACCTCGCTCAGCCAGTGAGCGGGAACCGGTCTGTATGTGGGATCCGAACCCTCGGCAGGAGCGTCGCCGCACTCCCAAGCGGCGCACTGTAGCAGTGCGCCACCGGGCCGGCCCGTAAAGTAAAATTTTAATATTTTTCTTACATTAATTCTTTTAGGTTCTAAGGAGTACCCTCATAATTTTAGACATATTTAATTTTCAGAGCCATTAGTAAAACATTGTAAATTCATTAGTAGTAATTATTTGAACCTAGTAAATCAAGGATAAAGGGTTTATTATAAATATTACTTATTTTTATTAGGTGCCATTTCAAAATTAAAAAGTCAGCACCAAGAGGACCCAAACAACACTTCACTTCTAACAAACAAACCAGCACTTCTTAGATCCCTTTTCACTGTTGGAGCACTGTGTCGGCATTTTGATTTTGATCTGGAAGATTTTAAAGGCAACAGTAAGGTAAAGATCATAATGTTACTTAGTGCACCCTAAAACATATAAGTATGTGGCCCTATGAGCTAAGAATGACTGAAATGACCCAGGACGAAGGCAGCATTAGAGTAGTCTAGTTTAATATGAATTCTGAAAACAGTGTTACTCAAAGTGTGGTCTTCGGACTGGCTGCTGATCCATGAACTGTTTGTTATTGGTCTGCGACAAGATTAGGAAGTTTCCACCGCAAGTTGTATAAACTTTATTATAGTAGACACACTGTTTAGATCAACAGCTGGTTGTTTTTTGTTTTCTCCCTCTTTCAGTGAAGAAAGTAATGTATCAATTTAAATTCTGGTACAGGCTTCTTCCTTACAGACTAATTGGTAGTTTATTTTTTAGTAAAGTTCACATATGGAAATTCTCCATGTGTGGAGAATTTTAGTTTTGTTTTTGTTTTTTCCTTTTTAGTTGAAAATAGATTTAAATTACTCTTCTTGAATACTTTAGTGTGGTTTTTCCCCCCTTAGGTTAACATAAAGGATAAAGTACTTGAACTGTTGATGTATTTTACAAAACATTCAGATGAAGAAGTACAAACAAAAGCCATCATTGGTCTAGGTAAGTTAAATCTAAGTTTCTTTATAGTTTTTAGTTGCTTGAGAGGTGAAGCAAATTTTTAAATATTGAAAGTCCAAATTGTTGATTTATTTAAATATGTTTCTATTGGCAGTAGTATCTGGTGTGTAGAATGTAAGACTGGAGGTTGAAACATCTGGGTTCCATTCTTGCCTTAGCCTGTGACTTCCTGGGTGGTCTTGAGCAAGTCACTTAATTTCTCTGTTCATCAGTTTCTTCATTAGTAAAATAGAGATAACAATACTGTCTCCTACCCCTACTTCATACGGTGTCTTAAGAACACATTCATTAAAGCACTTTGATTAAAAGATGGTATAGAAGAATTTTGTGCTGTTTGCATATTTTTTTAATTATTCTGTTTTCATTGCAAAGCTTTGTCATTATTTGTATCTGCCACTTCGAGTTAAAACAGTGAGCAGTGTACACAGACTTTATTTATATAGAAGCAAATCGTAACAACCCAAAAGGAACAGTTTAGATGTATACCTGTTCTATATTGTTTTTCTAGAAGCATCAATATAATAAGAACATGTTTTGCAGGCAGTTAGGTCAATATGGCTTATCTAGAAAGGAATTAGAATATGGAGAAATAGAAGGAGGATAGCATTAAAGTACCTGAGTCAAATGCACTGAAAAGAAATACAAGAATAGACTGTCCAGGGTTTTTGGGGTTTTTTTTGTTTGCTTTGTGCAAATACATGTAAAGCTACCTGGTAAGGTGAAAAATTTATTGGGAAATTTTATTTTGGTAGCATTAATAAGGCTTATAATTTAGTTAATATGTATGGGTAGTCCTTTGTATTACAGTCTTTTGAACAAAAATGAGTAATAAACGGTTCTGAGTTACCAACCCTCCTTAAATCTCCTTTGTAATATCTGTAAATAAATTTAAATCTTACTACCTTATTCTTCCTCCACCCCTTTCAGAATCCCCTTTTTCCTATAGCACATAGAGTAAAAACTTTGACATCATTTACTAGGGCGTTATATTGGTGTAATATTATCTTTAACCCAATATGTACCTTTAAATATTCCATCTGGATGTAAGTTATATGGAGTGGCAAAACTAGTAGTGTTAGAGCTAATTAAGAGAACAAATAGATTTTTAACTTCATATTAAGAAGCAGCATTATCCAGAAAATAGTGCCTCTAGACGAGTTAATAAAAAATATCATGCCTGGGCCATAGTTATCCTGTGTGACCTTGGGCTAGTTATCTTGATCACTCTATGCTTTGAGTTTAGTTTGTTGTTTATCATCAATAACACTTGCTATCATCAAAAGTTTTCATTTTTTCTCAAATAAATTAGCATTATGTACAAATAAACATGGTTAATAATATTATTTTGCCAATTACTCACCAGTAGTTATAGAATTCAACATTGTAGCCTTATGAGAAAAAAAGGATAATTTTAGCTCCAGTTTGAGAATTATACTGTTTCATCAAATGGATATATTTCAATATTTTTTTAAAATAATGTCAATACAGTACCTTATGCTAGGGATCTGAAAAATGTTTGTAGACATTACTTCTTAATCCTGAAAACATCCCTTTGAGGTAGGTGGGTGGTAAATATTATTGTCCCCATTTTACAGATGGAGAATTGAGGCACAGAGAGATTATGTGACTCACCCAAGGTCACACTACAAGTCAGTGGTGGAGCCAGGAATAGAACCCAAGACTCCTGACTCCTAATCCACTCCCCTAGCCTCTAGGCCCTGCTCCCTCCTCAAGGTTTCCTCTTGTGTGAAATTCTCCTTTGAAATGCAATTTCTTGTTTTTAATTCATGGGGAAAGAAGTGCCTGCTCTAATACTTCTCTAGGTAAGGCCACCAGCATATTCTTCCAGTCATTTTAAGTTTTAATTTTTTGAAATAAGGAGCTCTTTATATAACTTATTAACATTTTTATTAAAAGTTATATTTAATTTTAATATGAATATACAAAGATTTTTTTTCCTCTTCAGGATTTGCCTTTATTCAGCATCCAAGTCTAATGTTCGAGCAAGAAGTAAAGAATCTGTATAATAATATTTTATCTGATAAGAACTCTTCAGTAAATTTAAAAATACAAGTGTTAAAAAACCTCCAGACCTACCTACAAGAAGAGGATACACGTATGCAGCAGGCAGATAGAGACTGTAAGTAAAAATATATTTTTAAATTTCACAGTGCAGCTACAGTTATGATATTCTGTGACTCATTTTTTTTTTTTTTAATCCAGATATCTACATTTCCTTATCTGTTAAAGGAATTCAGTTAAATAGGAGTCCTTGTGCTAAGGTCCATAGCTAGGTTTAGAGTATTCTTAAACTCCTTAAAATAGTTGTAAAATTTTATATGTGTGTAAACATTAACATTTTGAGGGAGGTAAAGGATTATAGTTCTCAAAGGGGCTTCTGACACAGATGAAAAAAAAAGATCATAATGCATTGAGCTAGAACACTAGCTACAACTTTTTGTGATTTTAGTTGTGGCCTAATTTTGGAGTATTTAGTAAATGTAGGATAATATGTTCTTAATGTATGTTTATTCTTTGGTTTTATAGGGAAGAAAGTTGCAAAACAGGAGGACTTAAAAGAAATGGGTGATGTTTCCTCAGGGATGAGTAGTTCCATCATGCAGCTTTACCTCAAACAGGTGCTTGAGGCGTTTTTTCACACCCAGTCAAGTGTTCGCCACTTTGCCCTAAATGTCATTGCATTGACTCTAAACCAAGGTCTTATTCATCCAGTTCAGGTAAGCATGTTTTATAGCAGCAGCACTTACTAAAAGAGCCAGATTAGTTGTTATCTGATGACATTGTGATTAGAGAATAAGTAGTTCTTTATTCTTCCTAATCTTTAATCTTCTATGACCTAAAACTCTTAAGAATCTAAGTGGTCTTAGACAATCTCTTAGGTTGTCATTACTGCAAAATACCCATATATTTGGGTAATGTTGATTCTATTTTTTAAAAACTTCCAATTAATACTGGTAGAACATGTACTTGAATCATTCCTAAGTAGGAATGATAGATTTGTTTTAATTGATATTTACTCTTATCCCTAAGAGTCAACAATATATAATGTCAAGAAAGTTAACTGGGTATAAAAGTATAAGCTGTTCAATAGGATAGTTTTAGTCCACAGAAAAATAAATTATATAATCTGAGCCCAGTTTCTTCATCTTTAAATTGGAGGTAATATCAACTACCCAGCATCCCAAAGCATTGATATGAGTACAAAATGACGTAATCAAGACATTTAGTATTGCTGAGGATTGGCAGCCAATATGATGTAGTAGTGTATACCATCTGATGGTCAGCAGCATGCCATAGGCTACAAAAGTGAATTTATTAAATAACCAAAGTCTGTTTTTCATGGAACTTCTTCTAAAATAGGCCATACTTAAACATGCTGAGTTCTTCCCTGTGTCCTGAAACAAATCATGTTAATGAATGCAGTCGTCTCTCAGTATCCTTGGGGGATGGTTTCCAGAACCTCCCTTGAATACCAAAATCTACTGGATGCTCAAGTCCCTTGCATAAAATGGCTTAGTATTTGCATATAACCTACACATATCCTCCTGTATACTTTAAATCATCTCTAGTTTACTTATAATATCTAGTACAATGTAAGTGCTATATAAATAGTTGTTATACTGTATTGTTTAGGGAATAATAATGACAAGGGAGAAAAGTCTGTACCTGTTAGTACAGACACGTTTTTTTGTTCCCTGAATATTTTTGATCCACCATTAGTTAAATCCATAGATGTGGAACCCATGGATATACAGAGGGCCCACTACATTTAGCCTGTTCTTCAGGGTTATCATCATCAAGATCACTTATAATGTACAGCATATTGAGACTCTCACCTTTTTGAGACACTTAGGGCTCTTCGCTGGGTTCTTTTTATTATGATATCTGCTTTTTTAAACTTTTTTTTTTTAATTTCACACTAACAAATTGCAAGCATGATACAATGAAATCCTTTATACTCTTCACCTATATTCACCATGGGTTAACATTTTGCCACATTTGCTTTCTCTCTCTTTAAACATCTACTTTCTACTTTTTCTAAATCATTTGATAGTAAGTTTCAAATATTATGATTTTTTACCTCTAAACACTTCAGCATATATTTTTTAAAGAACAAGGACATTCTCTTACAAAACCATAATATAATCATCAAATTGAGGAAATTTAACTTTGATACAGTATTATCTAATATATAGTTCATTTTCATTTTTGCTAGTTAAGCCAATGATGTTATTTATATAGATCTTTTTGTTTCCTGATCTAAGATTTTAATCTACGATCACCTCTTTCATTTAGTGCCATGTCTGTGTTTTAAAGTTGTATATTTGTTATTTTTCTGGCCTTCTCAGTGTTATCTGATTCAGGTTTACTTAACATGGTAGTGGTATTTCTTGACTTTAGAAGTTGGGTACATATAGCTGTTACCAACTATCTGATCTGTGAAGCCACATCTGAAATCAATTTTGTGGGAAAAAAGTATATATTTCCTAGCTTTGAGTAGGGAAAACAAATTACTTTTTACCCTATATTATCTTTACATAGCAAATTCAGTCAAGCTTGAATATCATAATATTAAATAGATATTCTTAGTGTGGGAATACTTTATGTTTAAAGAGCCTTAAATTTATACTGAAATTGTTCAAATTTCATCACATCAGGATTTTTGCTGATGCTTCAGTGCTTTCTTGCTTTAAGCTAAATCTAAAGAAAGATTTATTATTTCTAAAAGAACACTAAAACAGTCTTTATAGGATGGCCTATAAAGCTAAATTCATATAAGGATACTTCAAAAAGTTTGTGGAAAAATAGAATTAAATGATAATATGAATCTTTCCATTAGTTTCATGTAACACTCAAAAAGAAGAGGTCTAATAAGGTATCTACACTCGGGTAATTATAATTTTTCCACACACTTTTTGAAGTACCCTCATATATCCCAAATAACACAAGTTATGACATGTCAAAATACATGTAGAGTTTTTACTCCTGTGATGTCTTATAAATTCTTTATTTTTATTTCCAGTGTGTGCCATATTTAATTGCTATGGGCACAGACCCAGAACCTGCTATGCGAAACAAGGCTGATCAGCAGCTTGTGGAAATAGATAAAAAATATGCTGGATTCATTCATGTATGTATTTTTAAATTGTATAACCTAAATTTACACACCTTTCTTCAGTAAACCGTTTCTTTGGTAAATGTCCTGCCGACATTCATAATTACAGTAAAATGTTTTGTTTAGTACTTACCTTCCAAACGTGCAACTAAGCTTGTCCCTCAGGGTATTTATTTTGGTTTAAAATTTACTCCCAGATTGGGCTAGAGGTGACTGTCCAACAAGCACACTGGACTAAAAATTAGAACACACGGGTTCTAGATTCTACTATGTGATCTTGGAAGCAATGACTCTTCTGGGCTTCAAGTTTTTCTTCTGTAAAATGAGGGGATTGCAATAGATGATCTCTAGTCTTCCTTCCAGCACAGAATCCGAATTCTGTGATTTTATTATTTTAAATAAGAAAAACAAGTAATGAAGTTAGCCTTAGAATGTAATGCTCAAAATATATTTTTAATTTTACTCTTTTGATTTCCCTGACAAAAACGAGGCTTTTATTGATTTCAGATGAAAGCAGTGGCTGGAATGAAGATGTCTTATCAGGTACAACAGGCAATCAACACGTGCCTAAAAGATCCTGTAAGGGGTTTCAGACAAGACGAGTCCTCTAGCGCTTTGTGTTCACACCTTTACTCCATGATCCGTGGAAACCGCCAGCACAGACGAGCCTTTCTTATTTCTTTACTCAACCTCTTTGATGATACAGCAGTAAGCATACAAACTTATTATTTTAAGAAAATAAATGTTCTAGAAATTTTATGGCTAAAGTAGTCACCATTTTTAAAATCTTACCATTTAGTAAATGACAGTGATTATATTAAGTGTTTCCTTTATCTTCTAACTTATAAGATAAACAGTCAAAAGAGAAATTTAATATGAGAATAAATATAAAGAGGAATAAAGTATAATTGTGCCTCTGTACTGAGTATCTTACAAACTTTGTTAAAATTAACTGTAAGCATATCTTTAAATAAGCTACATTACTAAACTATCACTTTGGGACTAGATTATCTAAATAAATAAATAAGATGAATTTCTCTCATTGCTGTAGGACTCAAATATTATTAGAGAATAATTGTTCTAGGTTTTTGGCTGCTGAGAATCTCTTGTTCAACTTGACTTCCTTAATGAAGTCAACTTACATTTTTATGTAATTATAGTTTGACACTGCTAGCTATTGCACAAGTTGCATTGGCCAGGACCATAAGCCAAGGAAACAGTTCTGTTCTTTAAGTTTACCTTTTAATTTATTCATTCATTTTATACAAATATTTATTCAGCATCTGCTGTGTGCCATCCATTGTGCTAAGAGGTTAAGAGGATAAAATAGTAAAACAGGATGTGGTATCTGCCCACACAGAGCTTACAGATGAGTCTTACATAGAACTTCCATATGGCAGCTTTAAAAAGAGCAAAAGAAATTTTTTTTAATTTTAATCACTTGTTATCTTGACCCCAGATTTGCACAATAAAGCAAAATTATAATTATCAGAGTGTAGATACTTGACTAGACCTCTTCTTTTTAAGTACTACGTGAAAATTTTAGATATGATCTAGCAAATAAATATTACATCTATTTCAGAAGTACCTCAAATATAATTTATCACCATCATCTTCATCATATCATCAATATTAAGCTTTCATTGCGTGTAGGATACTGTGCTAAGAGTGCAAAATCATATGATGTGGTGCTCTTGCCCTCAGAGCATTCTACTTCCAGTTGTGGAGTTAAGACACAAAATAAAGAAAATAAATAATGACTAAGGTTAGCATATCCTGACTGCCCGGTAGCTTGTATGATGACATTGCTCCAGTTTTTGTCTCTCTCCTGAGCTTTATTCCTGTGTGTTTTCACTGCCTGCTGTCTGTCATCAACTGGATGTTTTGTCATCTCAGCACTTGAAATGCGAAGCTGGAATTCCAGCTCTCATAATGCAGTGCTTTCTTCTGACTACCTCCAACAAAGAATGTCAGAGAAGAAACAAATCACTGAAGGCCTAGAGAGATTAGATGAGATGGATCTACTATATAAAGCAAGGGAGGAAGATATTCCAGGCAGGGGTAAAAACATGAATAAAATACAAAGATAAGAATGTGCGACTGGAGTGGAAAGGTCATAGTGAAGCATACATAGTACATAGAGTATCCTGTAGATAGTGGAAAACCTTTGAAAATGTTTGAATAAAATGATGAAAACAAGTGGTGCTGAAGATTATTTTAGGAACATGAATTTTTTAGCATTATATTCACACTGGAGGTAATAAGGGATTAATCTAGTGTGATGACACTAGGGAAAGAAAGATTGCATAGTCAGAAAAGAGAGAAGGAATGTTGTGAGGAAGGAATAAATTATGACTGCGTGAGAATAATAATCAAAAGATAACTGGAGGGGCCGGCCTGGTGGCGCAGTGCTACAGTGCGCTGCTTGGTAAGCGCGGCAGCGCTCCCGCCGAGGGTTCGGATCCCACATACAGACCGGTTCCCGCTCACTGGCTGAGTGAGGTGCGGGGGCAACACCGAGGGTTGCGATCCCGTTGCTGGTCCTGGTCCGGTACGGGCGTAACACTGAGGGTTGCGATCCGTTGCCGGTCACGAAAAAAGACAAAAAAAAAAAAAGATAACTGGAATATTTTTCTCTTGAGCACCAGACAGAATAGTGAGACTGTTGCTAAAGGCAGTTTGGAAAGAGTTGGCCGTGGCGCACTGCTACAGTGCGCCGCTTGGGAACGCAGTGGCGCTCCCGCCGAGGGTTCGGATCCCACATACAGACCGGTTCCTGCTCACTGGCTGAGTGAGGTGCGGGGGCAACACCGAGGGTTGCGATCCCGTTGCTGGTCCTGGTCCGGTACGGGCGTAACACTGAGGGTTGCGATCCGTTGCCGGTCACGAAAAAAGACAAAAAAAAAAAAAGATAACTGGAATATTTTTCTCTTGAGCACCAGACAGAATAGTGAGACTGTTGCTAAAGGCAGTTTGGAAAGAGTTGGCCTGAGAAGGACATGGAAGGTCAAAGAGCTAGGAAGAGAAAACTGAGGAAGAAGAAGGTTCCAGGAAAGAAAGGGTCAGATGCTGTTGAGAAGTCAAGGGGAAAAAGAAGTAAAAAAAATAGGGTGGGATGTTTGGTGAACTTGATGGACAGAAACAGTTAAGCAGTGAGGGACAAAAGTAGATTTTAACTAAAGAGTAGTGGGGAAGACATAGGGGAGGAGCAGACTAGACTGTTCTTTCAAGAAGTTTGATTTTGAAAGTGGGGAGCAGTATCGGACCTGTATGACCAAAGTTGAAGAATTTCAGAGCTTCGAAAATGTTTTTTCAGAGAAAATGAAAGGTTTATTCAGTTTAAGGGGAAAAAATATAAATAAATTATAATGTTAAATCTAATAGATGAGGTAGGGCTCTGTCTGCATTTCCTCAACTGTAGCATGTAGATGGTGACACCTATTTTAAAATAAAAAATAGAGTGAGAGTCTCTGATGAATATTAACAGCAAGTTTACTCCGTCTGTCCTATGGGATTTCTGTTGTTGCTACTGTTGCTTTGGGGTTTCGTGTCATTTAGATGGTGAGAGGAGGGTATGTGGTAGGAGAGAGTATTTTTTTTGGTTGCTAGTTTTTGTTTTTCTTTTTCTTTTAGCTTAAATGTTTAAAAGGAATTTGAATATTAACATGCCTTTCTATTTATACTCTGTATGATCATGAAATGCTGAAAGTCTAAGTTGCTTCTTTTTAAAGCAGATAACTAGTAGTAACTATAATTTTTCTCTTTAAATTTTGCCCATCTCAGAGTTTTTATAGTGTGAAACTGGTAGCACTGTCAAAACAATTCTGGCATTCTAAATTACATATCCAGAGGAAACTGACAAATATTTTAAGAGTACGTGAATTTGGGGGTTTTTTTAATCCCACATATTAGTACTATGATTACTACTTATTTTTGAGGGTGGAATAGTAACTGTGTGTAACTGATCTCCATATGGGTTAAACTCTTAGAAGCACAATGACAAATAATTATGAACTCTTATGTATACTTTCTGATGTGGTATGGATTTATCATAAAGATCTCATAAACTCTATAAGAAAACTTCAAAGACTTTTGCTTGGGTGCACTAAAAAATTTCACCTCTCCCCTCTTGATGTAGTGTGGTGTAAGTCATTGTAAAATCTCCTAAAATGGGTATAAGATTATTTTATAGTATCCATTTCTGTTCCCCCTCCTTCCTTTTTCTTACAATCTGTTTCCCTCTCCTTCACCCTCTCCCTCTTCTGCCCTTTTCTCCCCCTCCCCATGTTTCTCTGTAACATTATCTGAGGTGAAAGTGCCCTGTAATATTTTTTCTAAAAAAAGCTTTTTGGATGAGTTTCTAGATTATTCGCTAAACGTGTACCTTTTTTTAAAATTTACAGAAAACAGAAGTGACTATGCTCTTGTATATAGCAGACAATCTAGCCTGTTTTCCATACCAGACACAGGAAGAGCCGTTGTTTATAATGCATCATATAGACATTACACTCTCAGTTTCTGGTAGTAACCTACTGCAGTCATTCAAGGAGGTAAGTTACACACATTACTATTCTTAATGCATCTGTCAAAGTGTAGGCATGCTATTTTCACTGTTTTGTTTCTCATTATTCTTTTTATTCTTTTCACAGGTATATAAAATCTTTCTATTAAAGAAATCTGGGCAGTACTTGAATTGGGAGAGGAAGTGGGTTGCCATTTCAGTTCTACTCAGAAAGATCTAAAACCGTTCCATTTCTAGACCGTTTAGACGGACTTTTTATACATATATGGATTGTTCTAATGATAAACCATCCCACTTCTTTATTTCTCTCACTTAAAGCACTGACCTTAAGTGTTTTGTGTTCATTCATATATCCATTTAAACCCCATTTTAAAGCACCTTGCTATTCTGTAAATCTTGCAGAGTCATAGGTCACAACAGTACAAATGAAAATTTATAGATAGCTTACAAGAAACCAGAGAGTATGTAACACCACTGATCTCCTTATCCCTCAACAACAGCATCAAAATGCAGTTGGCATATTGTGTGCCCAAAGTCTTTACTAAATATCTTGTTATAAACCTTATGTCTTTTTTGTCATGATTTTTAGGAGAAAATGTAATTGATTTAATTGTAAAAGTACTTGATGTGGCACTAGGCACATAGTAAACAGTAAATTCTTTATAAATTTAGTGGAATGTTTTCATGTGATACAAATAAATCTCATTTTACAAAATTGTAGGGCTCAAAGCTCAGCCTTGCCAAACACATAAATAGGGAAATTACTAAGATATCTAAGGGCTGGAATGCTATTTTGAAGTGTGGACCATAGACCAGCAGCACAGGCCTCACTTGAACACTTGTTAGAGCTGCAGAACCTCAGGCCCCACCCCAGACCTGCTGAAATAAGAGTCTGCATTTTTAACAAAATCTTTAGGGTATTCATATGCACCTTAAAGTTTGAGAAGTTAATAATTTCCCAGGAACTTTGACCATATTCTCTTATTTTATTTCACTTACTGTTGTGGATATACTTGTAAATGTTTCTTCTGTTTTATTTCTTAGTTACATTTTGAATAACAGTTACATTTTGAATAACTGCTTCTGTAATTTGGTATCTGCTTCCCCTCCTCTTTACGTCCAGTTGACCTTGTTTTCTTCTAAAAGCTAATATTTTCATAAGCACAATGAAACAGGATTTAAGTATTCAGGGAAAGTTGCATATTGCTAAAAAGTACTTGATAGAAATGGGATGTTCAAGCCTACTGTATTCTCAGTTAAATTATAATTACTGCTTTTCCTCTATAATGGCTTACCTATGTACCAGACTGATACTTTTATAACTAACTTATATTTCATTACTGTTCTTATAAGAAAATTGTTTCCCTTTGAATATTTCGGAAGGGTTTTTTGGAGGGAATAGTTGTGGGCGGGGGGAGGTGGTGTTATATATGAATTTATTTAGTCTTGGAAACTAATTATTTTCCCAAAGGTTACATCTCCAATGGTTTATAGAAAATCAAGAGGTTTAAAAAATATTAATTTAAGGAAGCTTTTTGAAGCTGTTTAGTGGAGCATACTTATATTTGTTAGTGGTATTTTGTTTTTATTGTTTTTCAAGCAGAGTAATTTCCTCTTTCTTTCAGTCTATGGTAAAGGACAAAAAGAAAGAGAGAAAATCATCACCTAGTAAAGAAAATGAGTCAAGTGAGAGTGAAGAAGAAGTTTCCAGGCCTCGGAAGTCACGGAAACGTGTAGATTCAGATTCAGATTCAGATTCAGAAGGTGATATAAATTCAGTGATGAAATGTTTGCCAGAAAATTCAGCTCCTTTAATTGAATTTGCAAATGTCTCCCAGGGTATTTTATTGCTTCTGATGTTAAAACAACATTTGAAGAATCTCTGTGGATTTTCTGACAGGTAAGTTTACGTGTGAAGAGAAAAAAATTTTACTTCGTTCAAATAATAAAGAAATAGCATACTTACCTTAATATTAGAAATGCTTTTTTTTTTTTTTTTTCCTTAAAAAATGGCCAGTAAGGGGATCTTAACGCTTGACTTGGTGTTGTCAGCACCACGCTCTCCCAAGTGAGCCAACCAGCCATCGCTATATAGGGATCTGAACCCGTGGCCTTGGTGTTATCAGCACCACACTCTCCCGAATGAGCCATGGGCCGGCCCAGAAATGCTCCTTGTTTAAAAAAGAGTTTGTTTCTTTTTGCTGCTATCTCATATTCTGCTGTATAATTTACCATAATTTATTCTGTAATTGAAGGAGGAAAAACATTCCTTCATTTGGTAATAATGCATTACAAATTAAAGGACTTATTTTGGTTGATATCCTTAAAAAGACCTTATTAGAGAATAAGGCTAATCTTAAAATAAATTACAAATTTAAGTTCTTAAAGAGTTATGAAATAAGAACAGATGTAGACCAGCTAGGCTGAGCTCTAACAGAAACCAAATAGTCTGTAAAGTATTCTCTAAAGTAAGAAATAGAAAAAAAGTATTGATTATTGTGAATGCCCTGTAATTTTACCCACTACTAGTTGCTAAAGATTTCCCTTTTCTGCCTATACCCATGGAATTTTGATCATTTTTCACTTTCGTTGAAACCTTACATTAGGAATCACAAAGTCAAATGTTAATAAGGGACAGATGATAAAATTAGTAAAGTGGACCTAGTCAGTGACCAACTAGAAATAGTATGTTTTATGTAAAGGTCTCATTTAATGTCATTTAAATGGACATTTCTCAGGTTTCCATCGGCTTGTTGCCACAGGAGAGTGTGCACATATGTGGCTAGAGCGTCCACTTTTTCAAGAGATGGTAGAAATTCAAACTTTTATGAGAAATGTCTTGATGTTGAATGTTGGCAACTAATTCAAAATCATGTAAAACCTTCTAAGGTCTTGGGGCAATGCTAAGGAGTTGGAAAGATATAAACAGGGTTGCTAATAATCTGAAACAGGTTTATGAACAATCATTCTGGCTGCTGTGTATAGAATGAATAGGTAGGGGGCGAAAAGTAGGAGGAGGTAAACTAGTTAGGTGGTATTGAGTAATTGTGTTGAAGCTGCCCTTCAAACATTATCAGGGTGTTACAAAATAGACATGAGAAACAAATTTTATTAAAGCTTCTTACCTGTAATTGGATTTCTGCAATTGTGTTGCTTCCGTAGATCCAAGTATCTTTTTTCCTTCCCTGTCATTTTGATGCCTCTATTGGAGACAATTACTGATGGAAACAAGAGAATATTATTCTATAATCTTTGCCTTCCTGTCTTTACTTCCCTTTTAAAACTCATATTTCTTTCGTGTCTAAGTTCATTAGTTGAAATATATGTGACAAAAAGTTTAATTATTAGTAAATATAATTCAACTAGAATCAATTTAAATAGAAGAACCTGAAATTTTTTTAAAGTTTTTAATTTTATTTTCCCCAAACAGTAAAATTCAGAAATACTCTCCATCTGAATCTGCAAAAGTATATGATAAAGCGATAAACCGAAAAACAGGAGTTCATTTTCATCCCAAACAAACACTGGACTTCCTGCGGAGTGATATGGCTAATTCCAAAATCACTGAAGAAGTGAAGAGGAGTATAGTAAAACAGTATCTAGATGTGAGTAGTAAAACCAAAAATATTTTCTTCTCATAATGACATTTTTGACAAGTATATTTTTGGAGGGGAAATAGCTATTCCTTTACATTGAACGTAAACTTCATGAGCTATCAAGATTTCTTAGTTACTTTAAGCTTGCCTTTCCCATTGCACCCACAGCATCATAATTATTTTTTTCTTAGGAAATGACAGCCCACTAATTTTATTTTAGCAAAAATGAAAGATTATAAGAAACTGTTTATGCTTGCGTTATTTTTAATTCTAAGAGTTATGTGGTTTATAGTTCATAAAAGGTAAAACTAGTCATCCTCTTACCCTGTTTGGCCATTCTGCTCCTCCCCTTTCTGGTAACCAATTTTATTATTTTTTATTTATTCTTACACAAGTAATACATGTATACATATTTGTATATCTTTTGTATATACGAGCATACTCATTTAACAAGTATGTGAGTGGGTGTGTATAAAATGTCTTTAAGAATAGGCAAATTCATAGAGAGAAAATAGAATAGAGGTTATCAGGGGTTGTAGGGAGTTTAATGAATACAGAGTTTGTTTTTGGAATGATAAAAAAGCTCTGGAAACGGATAGTGGTGACGGTTGTACAACATTATAAATATACTTAATGCCAATGAATCGTACACTTAAAATGGTTAAAATAGTAATTTTTATGTTTATGTATATTTTATCACAATAAAAAATTTTTTCTTAAGTTTTAGAAACGTCTTTAGGGACATATCCTAAATAAAGTTTTATATTTTAATCTACATAAGGCAAGTAGCTGAACATAAAAAAGGGGGTTTTGTTTTTGTTTTTGTTTTCGTTTTTTGGCCAAGAAGGAAATCTATGCAATGGTTTTCATATTATTCATAGACTTTGCAAACCCTATAAATTGAAAAAAGTATTTTAGTTCTCCTTTAAAATTCTTTACCATCCTTTTCATCCTCTTATCTTGACAGAGAGCAGAGGGCAGGAAGAGGGCAGGAAACTAAAAGATGTCTATCGGTAATTATTATCACCTGATAGTTTGATGATTTGGACCAAAGCCCAGCAAACCATGGTTTATGGGCCAGATTCAGCCCATTGCCTGTTTTTCTGTAAATAAAATAAAGTTTTATTAAAACAGCCACAAATGTCCATTCATTTTTTGTATTGTCTATAGCTGCTTTCACTTGTAGTTGCAACAGAGACCATATGGCCTGCAAAACCAAAAATATTTACTATTTGGCCCTTTACAGAAAATGTTTACCAACCCCTAACTTGGGTAGTAGCTAAAGCCTGCTTCACCCATACCAAACTACTGCCATAGAAAACATTTAGGAATTTGACTTAAAATGTTTACTTAAAACTATGAATTAACATCTGGTTTTTGTAGTTCAAACTTCTCATGGAACATCTGGACCCTGATGAAGAAGAGGAAGAAGGGGAGGTGTCAGCTAGCACAAATGCTCGGAACAAAGCAATTACCTCGCTGCTTGGAGGAGGCAGCCCTAAAAATAATACAGCAGCAGAGACAGAAGATGATGAAAGTGATGGGGAGGATAGAGGAGGAGGCACTTCAGGGGTGAGGCGGAGGAGGAGTCAACGTATTTCGCAGCGTATTACGTAAAATGATTTTTATGTGCTTATATATGTCAGTCTATTAAATGTACACCAAGTAATGTAATACTTATAAGCGAAAACATTTTGTAGATAGAGATTCTCTACTTAACCGTTTATACATTCTTTTGTAGAAAGTTTAACATAAAAGACAATAAAAAACAAATGAGATTTATCCAGCATAAAGGGTTATTAATTTTTCTTTGAATTGTATTAATGTGTGTTAATCCTTTTTATTGTTGCTAAGTTTTATGTAGCTTTATGGTTCATATGTATATATAATTTTATAAGAGTAAAGACACGGGTACAAATTAAGAGTTATATGGTTTTACAAGTATATGTTAACCCCTTGGCGCTGGCGGTCACGGTGCGTCTCATTGCCGGCAATGGAAGTATGCCGGGAAATCCCAACTCCCGGCGTCAAGGGATTAAAAGCAATAAAAACAATAATTTTACTAAAAGTCTTTTGTGTAACACTTGGTCTTTTTTCCCCCCTCCCAATGTTTTAGTCATTGAGAAGGTCAAAACGAAATTCAGACTCTACGGAGTTGGCAGCACAGATGAATGAAAGTGTTGACGTCATGGATGTCATCGCTATTTGCTGTCCAAAGTACAAAGATCGACCACAAATTGCAAGAGTAGTACAGAAAACCAGCAATGGCTTCAGTGTTCAGTGGATGGCAGGCTCCTACAGTGGCTCCTGGACTGAGGCTAAGCGCCGTGATGGCCGCAAACTGGTGCCTTGGGTAGACACTATTAAAGAGTCAGACATTATTTACAAAAAAATTGCTCTAACGAGTGCTAATAAGCTGACTAATAAAGTTGTTCAGACTTTACGATCCCTGTATGCCGCCAAGGATGGGACTTCCAGCTAATGAATTTGTACATGCAGCCAAATTTACAGGAATTTTTTTAAAAGGCAGAAAAACTTGAAATATCAACATTCTGGCAAAAAAAAAAAAAAAAAAAAAAAAAAAAAAATTCAGTTTTACGAAGAGTAAGAGTGGAACCTGGGATGCAGGAACAAAAGAAGGAAATGTTGGGCAAACATTTTTGTGGGAGCTCCCTTCGCTGTTGTGCAGCAGAAACAGATTCTCAGTTCATTTTTACTCCCACTGTATTATAGTTTAACAAAAATTGTTTATATCTTGGAAAAAAAAACTTTCTGTTTAAAAAAAATAAACAAGTGAATGTTGGAAATTAGTCTGTTAATGTTCTTAATAAAGTGTTCTTGGAGTTAACCTAGCAGCGGATGGCTTTCTTTAGCTTAGCCCAGTTTCCAGGGAAGCATTGTTTTTTTCCAGGCTGTAAAATGGCAGAATCTCCTGGATATATAATTTATTCTGTTGGGAAAAAAAAAAAAAAAAGCATGCAGTATCTATGACCTACCTGCAGAAGGAGTTTTTGTAAATGTAGATTTTGATGTATTAGGTCACCCTGAAAACAATACAAGAAAAGGGATCCCCAGGCAATCTGGTGGAGCAAATACTGCAATAAATTTTTTTACTTCTCTTTGTTACTTGTCTGTTTCCATTTGAATTTCTTATTGTAAAGATCTGTTTAAATTCATTTATATTATTTTACAGTCTTTTATGTAAAATTTATTATATCACTGGTTTTCAAAGCAAAACAAAATATTGTTTATACAGTTTGTATAGGCTGACTTCTGAATAATTGGTATCTATTATTTTCATTCCCATAAGAGGGTGTAAACAATTAACTCCAGGGTTTTATTGTATCCTGCAATATTTAGTATTAACTATATATGATTTAGCACTGTGCCAAACACATTTTCAAGAGTACATTTTGATATAAAAAGAAACTATAGTTTATTCCTTGTTTGCTTCCATTTCTTTCTAGTGATGTCATGATGGTAATATTTATTTTTTAAACCTTGGGGAAAGGTAGCAATCCTATTGTTTTGGAAAACCAGCCCTTCTTTCTCTTAGTTAAAATGATGCCGTGTTATTTTACAAATAGAGTTGAGATGAGTATGACACTTCATAATTATACTCTCTACATTTTTCACATTATTTTTTAATGCTAAAAGTAATTTTACTTATTGGGTTGTTTATTCATTTCCTACTCTAAAAGTTTTATCATACATCTTTTGGGAGTTGTCATTTATACATTTGTTACTACAAATATCTAAGTTCAGGGGGTGTTTAATCATTTAATTTGCATAGTTGACACTCAGAGAAATAGTAATGTCTGAAATTTACAGTGGATGAGGTCTATTTCCAAAAAAAAAATTTTTAAATGTGTACTTATTTTTAAATCACTGAAAAAAATGACCTCTAAAATGCTAAGTTTTATGAAATTGGCAAATAAATGAAGGTATTCAATTTGTGAGGAAGAGTGACATTGCCACATGATATCTTTTTGTGAACACCTATTAAACCACTATGAAAATAACTTTTCAGGATCTATTTCCTATGTGGAATTCTTTCCAAATGGTTTCTTGAAGGATGTGATCTCTCAAACTCTTTGTTTTCTTCTTAATTGCATGTCTCCTTTCCCCTTTTTCTGCATACTCTTTTGGACAAAATTAGATTGGGGTTTTTCCCCCCTTAGAGTTTTTTTTGTTTATATCAGCAAAGGATTTAAGGTAGCCTATGAAAACAATATCAAAAAGAGTAAAATACCAGTTAGAGAAAATATAAGAATATACCTAACGTCCAGCCAAGAGAGTATTAAAGAATAAAAATGTGAGTAAAACCGATTTTGAATCATGTTCCTGACAATGACACATGCTGTTATTTAATTCTCACAGAGACAGTTATATGTCTTCTCCCCATTTTATAGATGAGGAAAACAGGCTCAGGAGGATTCAGTAATTTGCTAAGAAATGTCACAATAGGGATTTAAATCTGGAATCCGGATAGTTGTGTCTCACTATCCTAAGCTAATTGAACATCAAGTATTAAGGGAGATGATTCTTATTGAAAGTAAACCAGTTCCTAAAGGATTCTTGTAGTGTATATACTTGGGAATCCTATTTAGAGCAAGTTTTAGGCAGTAGGGGCACAGTATTAAATCTGTTGTTTCAGTTGGTTTTAGATGAATTTGCTGTGTTTGCCATTCATTGGAAATTTAGGAATTTTAGAAATTGGAAATTTTGGAATTTTGCATATATTCTAAGCTCCAATATTTTATTTTATTTTATTTTATTTTATTTTCTGTCCTTTTTGAGACCATTCGCACCGCCCTCAGCCAGTGAGCGCTGTGAGCACACCGGTCATCCCTATATAGGATCCAAACCCGCGGCGGGAGCGCCGCTGCGCTCCCAGCGCCGCACTCTCCCGAGTGCGCCACGGGCTCGGCCCCAATATTTTATATTAATATAATCCAAATGTTGATTATTTTTTAGGTCTTAACCCTAAAATAAGTTAAGGCCTTGGCAGTCAAATATACACAATCAAACTTTTCAAGTATCTTGGGGATTTACAAGGTTCAGTCTTAATCTAGTTTGTTGATTAATTACTATAGATTAATCTTAGTATGTAGTAAATCATGTCATGTTTTATTGACTTGTATTGAAGAGATGTTATATTTGTTACAAAATTTTTTAAGTGTCTTCACTTTTTTAATATGAAATTTTGGCATTTTCTTTTTTTTTTTCCTTTTTGTCTTTTTTACTGACCGGTAACGGGATCACAACCCCCGGTGTTGCGCCCGCACCGCGCTCAGCCAGTGAGCGGGAACCAGTCTCCACATGGGATATGAACCCTCAGCGGGAGCGCCGCTTGCGAGCGCACTCTCCAGTGCGCCACTGGGCCGGCCCCAAATTTTGGCATTTTCTTATTTAAATTGTTTTATTATTTTAATAAAGAATGGCTAGCTCTAGAAAGATTCATACTAAAATACACGTGGCGGAAAATTCATCTCTAGAATTTTCTAAAATTCAGTAATCTCGCTCAGTTGGTTATAGAGCACAGCCTTATAATACCAGGGTTACGGGTTTGGATCCCCATATAACCGGCCAGCTTGGGGGTGATGGGGGGAAGATGAATACAGCAAGGTAGCCTTTAAAAAAAAAATTCAGTAATCTCTAACAGAAGAAATGCTGAGCTTTTAGAGAAAAGTAATATATAGCTTACTGTCTTGATATGGTATTTGAATTGTTAGCAGGTAGTTGGAACACATAGCCAATTTTTGATGGCCATAGTCTGTCTCATGAAGGTAGGTAAGTCAGGCTGACTTGTCCCATATGGATTTCATGATCAGCAGGCAAATTTATCATATTTTCATTTAGAAGGTGAATTTAACTAGGGAAATATATGGTTCTGTCTCCTGATACATCAACCAAAGTTGCACAAAAAACTCATCAAGGTTACTACCCTAATGTCCAGGTGATCTGCATCTTTAGAAGTTATGGATCTTAAACTGCAGTGAGATTTATGCAAATATAAAACTCATCAGGTTACCCACTTGAAATAATAATGTAATTGAAACACCTGAGAGTAATTTTACTCTACAAAAATTCTACTTGTTTAAACCTGTTGCTGTATGCCATACTCATTTTAAAACTAGTTTAATCCACTAGCTAATTTTTGTCATAAGAAGCATATTATTGATTACACAAATTGATTTTACTAATATTATTTATTTAAAGTTTTTTCTACATACACCCCTTGTCCTATTGGTACTATCTGAGAAACAATTTAATGCAAATTTGGCATGATAGAAAGTTCACTGACCAAATTACAATTTGTGTAGTCTGTTGACTAAGTGGTCATAAAATCTGCACGTGTTACATGACAATGGGGGTAAGTATCAGCAACCCACCCTTACTTTTCAGGATTCAAGTTGCTCAGAGTGGTGCAGTGTGCACACAGTATTTTTCTCATCATAGTTTTAAAAATTATTTTTTGTTATGGGAACCTCCACATAGTACCATCACTCAGTTTCAATTATTCTGAATTTCTGCCCAAGCTTGTTTAAGCTGTACCAGAAGTACTCCCTCCCCCATATCTTTTTAAACAAATCCGAGGCATCATTTCCTTTGTAAATATGCTATCTCTAGACATTTATACTACCTTGACATCAAATATCCAGTAAGTATTCAAATTTCCGATTTTCTCATAAGTGCCTTGTTTTTTGGTTTTTGGTTTTTTGTTGTTTTTTGGGGGTTTTTTTTCTTGTTTTTTTTTTTTTTTTGTCTTATTTTATAGGTTTTTTCATCTGGTTATTTTCCTCACAAATTTTTTATGAAGAAACAATTGTTTTTCCTTGGGATCTTAAGAAAGTAATTGATTCTAAATAGGACTAAGGTATTTTCTGGGTTTTGACTTTTCTTACCTGAATTTATTGTAAGTTTGAGAGATACTGGATTTCTCTTCCAAATTCATAAGTATTGATACTTGAGCCTACATAACTGTAACAGTTACCATTACAGAGATAATGAAGCAAAGAAGTAGCTCCAATTTTTCAGAAAGATGGTGATGTACATTGTTTAATCCTTTGAATTTGAGTTGGCAAATGCCCAGCAGGCAATTGGAGGTAAAGAATTAAAGAAAACAGAAGTTTAACTAGATGCCAGAAGACACCCTATAAACAAAGTTTTTTGTTGGTCAAAAGTATGTGACAAAGTGATTTCGTGTTACGTACTGCTTGACATAAGTGGTCTACAGACTGGCCATTTTTATTATATAGAGGGTATTACAGTTTTCAATGAATTTTGCTTCTACTTTTTTGTGATTCTTCAGCCATTTTTCTGGAAATGAAAAGTTATTTTTGTGTTACTTCATCTTCCTTAGCCTTTCTTCTGCTAAGAAATGGCAGTGTAAGTTTATATTGATTATAACTTGCCTAGAATTGTACTTTAAACTTAACTTTATTAGATTAAGATCCTGGAACAAAGAACAGAAAAAAGTTGTCATGATCTAAGTTTGTCACAAAACCTAAACTAATAATGGATCTCCATATTCTATAGTTTTAAAAATACTTATAGAATTGTACAATATGAGAGATCTGAGAAATCACTTAGTCCAGGTGTTCTTAATCACTTTGGAATTTATGAACCCCTTGGAGGAATCTAATGAAAACCATGAAATCTCTCCTTAGAAAATAGAACAAATTTATACCCAGAATTGTGCATACAATTTGAGGGGTTCACGGTCACACCCACCCCAATTCCATGTATGCCCTGTCTTGGGAATTCATGGACTACAATTTTAGAGATTCTATTCTAATCCAAACCCTTCTTTTAAAGAAGGTGAAATTGAGGCTCAAAGAGTTTAACTGATACACACAAGCGGCGTACCGACTTAGTACCAAAGTCAAGAGCAACCCTGGGCCTTTATCTTGCAGATCAGTTGCTCTTTTAAGGAAAATTTCATCTTGGAAATTTTGTATTCAGTCTCCTGTTAGGATCTGAATTAAAATCAACAACTAGATTTTGTTGATTTTAATGCCTTTTCGGAAGATCCACTTTTATGTTCTCAGATTGTTTAATGTCTACCATCCTGTTTGATAGGTGGAGAAGAGAAAATGCAGTATTTTATTGTGCTAGTTCTATTTTTAATAATTTTCTACCTCACCTGGCTGATGAAGAAGACTAAAACTTGGATTGATAAAAAGTATTAACTTCTTTGAAATAAGAAGACATAGTCTGAAGCCAAGTGTTTCTGAAATAAGTATAAAATGAAGTTTGTAATAATCACTTAGCATATTACGTAGGAGCTTATTTAAAATATCCATAACTATCTGTTGTGTGTATTTGGATTATGAGAATGTTTGCTTAAGTGGGGAGATGGAAAGAATTCTGGAAGTGGAAAAAACATAACAGTGAGTGGAGGAACCAAGATGCACATAATACAATATCAAAAGA